TGAAAATGTGAAACCAGGTCCTCAGTCTAACCTAGTTTTGATCACTATCCCTATTGTTAAAGAGCTCATTATTAGAGCTTTGATGTTAACTGTCTGAGGGATGACATCCCTTACAATCTCAATACTTTATTAGATAAAACCTTTCGTGTCATTTAAAAGCTGCAGAAATTACAGGCTGTGCATTTTGTGAATTATTATTGAAAATATTAAAAAAAAACTCTGGAAGAAATGGCCTAATATGAACTTTAAGTGTTTAAGTGTTTACTCTGCATTGAGTTGCATTTAAAGCAACTCCTTCTGAAGCAAACGAAGCAGTGTTTCCTACACATTTAATGCACCTGAACAGACAGGTACATTAATGATTGTTTAAACACGTGCACCTACATTTCCTCATTCTGCTGCATAAAATCACCATCTAGGACTGATAATCAAGCAGATGGTTTCTGTTTGCCAACCTACTAGGGCTGGGCGATAAACAGAAAATTCTCCAATACCAAAATTTACAACAATTACCAAAGTTATTTTGCCCATATCGGTATATTCGGTGTCAAAAAAAATAAAAATAAAAGTTGGTTTTGGATGTGTGTAGGTAGGCTATGGTCTCATGTCCCTTTAAGACGCTGTCCTATGTCAGAGATGTGACTCTACCTCATCCAGTTCATAACAAAGAGGGAAAGACAGGTGAGGAGATGAAGAAGTTGGAGTGGCTGGAGCAGCGGCTGAAGTAGACAAAGGTAATGTGGGAGGGGGTGAGCAGCTTGTGGAGTAGTTATCGTCCATTTATCTTTATTGAGGTGAACTGCTCGATAATACCGTGATATTGATTTAAGGCCATATCCCCCAGCCCTACAACCTACCCTTTTAAACATGTCCAGATTAAGGCCTGAAAATGGTCTACAGGTGCACAAAATGTAGACTCAATCATTCAAATTTAAATTGAAATGTTTTCATATTCATATGTTCCCTATCAACCATGAGCCCTTCGACTCATTCACGTAGAGCCCATATCTACAGGTGATCAAAGAGACAACCACTTTTACATCCCTCTTTTTAACGTAATGATTGATGAGCCATCACTACAGGTATGCTGTTTTTTTCTGTGAAAACACTGAAATGCTTGGGTGAGATCTATTCAGTTTGAGTTTGTGAGACAAGTCCTGAACGTACCTCTAAGACTAAACAGGTCACTCTGACTGTATCTGTTTAATACCTCTGTGCTGTCTCTTATTCTGTTGATTTTTCCCTAACAGGGTTTCCTTGAGAACTAAATCTACTTAGGATTTATTGTTTCTTATTATTTCTCTTCATTGGAAATTATAATCCTTTCACCTAATCCCCCTCTCCCTCCCCCTCTTTCAGATCATATTCATCAAGATCATCCCCTCTGACAAAGCAAGAAATCAGCACAGCGGGGAGGTCTAACGAGAACGTGTACCGAAACAGGGGGTTTCTTCCTAATCAAATCAGGTTCCTCTGATGTAATCAAGACGAGACGCCAAAGAAGGCTTCATAATCTCCTGGGGACATGCCTCCCTTGCTTGCAGGTTATTAAAAAATGAGGAAGAACAAATCTTTAGATTGAAAGACTGGAAAAATGGAATTATAATAAATCGAGGGAAACTGGGGCAAGGTTGGATAAAGCCTTCAGATACAGATGAGGGACAAATCTTCACTGAGGTTTGTGCTTGTATGTATTTATGTGTGTGTGCATGTGAGAGGTAGAGAGGTAGAGAGCTGGGCTGTGTGCGTGTGTGTCATGTTACTGTTCAATTTACTCAAGATCAAGACCCTGACCTGAGCGCTCTCTCTGTAAAACTCACTCAATTTCAACTCAGTTCAATCTGTCAGCTTCTAAGGTGGTCACCGGACTTAATGTGGGAGACTGCACTTACAATTAACAACCACATGATGGCACAATATGACAAAAGTGGGCATCAGCTTGGAATTTAAGTCTCTAACTATAAATCTGACCTGTGTGGTCTCTATGATGACTACAGAGCATGTAACTATTATGTGACTAGTGTCTTAAGTATCACAGTCAAATATTCAGCTTTATTAACTTATCAAATAGTCAGCTGACACACAGACACACTACTAACCCAATACAAAGAATGAAAATGTTCAGCTGAGTAAGCAAAACCTGCTTGAACATTCTTGGCCTCCACCACCAGATGGCCTTATTGAACTGAGGAAAAAAGTACTAAGACTTCTTAGAGATGAACTACATGGGTTACAGATCTCAAGATTCAGTTTGGACAGCAGATAAATAGTCACAGATTGGTTCAGAAGCCCAAGCCTTCCTCAACAAAGATGAAGTTACTTAATAAGGAATATTTTAATATTGCTTTTAATTTCAGATTATTGAGAAACTTGCATTAAACAAAACCGGTGAGTTTTTGTCTCAAATCAGAAATCAACACACAGTCATTTCCTGAGTGAACTTTGCTACTAAGGAGAGAAGACCAACAGTACAGAGTTTATGTTTGTACTAGAAAACTGGAAACTTTCCATTGAATTTCTTTATTTATTAATATTTATGTGTCATAATAGGAAAGCTTTTTTAAGCAGGCTGTGCAGGTGTCACATTGTTGTTATGTGGGTTGTTATTGGACACTTGGTGATTACATTTCCACCAGCACTAGGGCTACTACTACAGATTTAAACTGCAGGGTATTGATGTATGCTTGTGTATTTGCTAAAACGAAAAAAAAAATTGTAAGGATCTGTTTGATGTTTTAAGGGTGGTTCTCTGATACCTGTGTTAAGAAAAGTCAAAAACAGATAATAAGTCAGTGTGGCTGGTGTTCTACCTGAGCATATTTCATCAGACTTGCCGTTTTGCAGCAACTCTAATCAAATATACATGCAGATGGCATCAGATAAAGGTATTGCAAGTGAACTGTAATATCTGCATTTTAAGCCTGATAGGAAATTATTTTGCATGTTCTCTACTTGTTTTCTTCAGTTTAATAATGTCCACCCTCTGGAAGTCCAGGAAATGCTAGTAACTTTCTATTTGCAAAGGATTTCATTTCAACTGCACTTTTAACTTCTCTGTGTATGTGTTGTGTATACAGTATCTATAAATAAAGAGCCTTAAAACTGCAATTTGATAATAATACCTCTTTAAATCATAAATTAGCCAACATTTACACAATCAATTTGTTTAGTAGACGATGTTACACACTGTATTAACAAAAAGAGGACCAAATGTTTCATCTCCTTGATCAGAAATTCTTAGAAGAGTGTTTGTATTATCGCTAAACATATGCTGTCTTTTTTGAAGAGTAGGGACACATTTTACTTCAGTGCTTGGTGTACTAAAACTACCGGGTGAAAGCACCAATTATTTAACAGAGATGACGAAATCCTCAAAGCACCACACCTCCAAAGGCTCATTGCGACATAAACATCAACATCCAAAGTAGTCGGTTACTCACCTTAACAAATCACGAAGAGTAGATGAAAGCACTCTTACAACCTGAGTTTAAAGCTATATAATAAATATACATAATAATAAAAAGAATAATAATAATAAACAGAATAAACAGCTTCACAGCAGACATACATGCAAGTTATACCCTCAATGCACCGCTAAGGGCACTCTTATATGAAAATCTCAGCGAAATAACCATGAGATGGCAAAGTATGTAAATTTAAATTAAAAAAACTACTGCAGAATAATCCCTGTAGTAATCTAAAGCGATAATGTATATGTTTAAGATCAAAAGTTATATTTATGAGAATAAGGATTAATCATGGTACTAAATACTACAATAAACTAGGTAAAGACAAGTCTCTCTCTTTCTGCATCCATCCCCTTTCTCAACCCAATGCAGAAGTGGAAGATCACCAACATGAGTCTGGTTCTGCTCAACGTTTCTGCCTGTTAAAAGCAGTTTTTCCTCTCCACTGTAACTTGCTTGATGCTGCAACCCACTGAGCAATAGACGGCTATTAGATGTCTAGTTTTTTTCTAGATCTAAATTCAACTGTCTAGATTCTGTATATTTTTAGACGGAATTTAGATATTGCAATTTAACCCATTATTTGATAAGCATTTATTTCAAAAAACAACTGTGAGTTGCATAACTGATCACCAAGTACTTAACCAAAATAATTATGGTAGCAATTTTGAGCAATATCGAGCAACATACAGTGTAGTATAGATATAGCCCAGATTTAAACTTGGTCTAAACATGGTCTAAATTTAGACGTCTAAGAAACTGTCATTTTAAGACCTGTGGTAGCCTGACTTAAGACCAGTCATATAGACTACATTTAGACGTCTATTAGACCTCTTTTAGACCAAAAAATGCTCAGTGGGAAAGTGTTCCACTCCTGGCTGAAGATGGGATGGAAGTGGATCTGAACATACAGGATGGGGCTCAGTGTTATCCTCTCATTACATTAGGTCTTTGTATGGTCTTTTTTTGTCAAGCCTCTTGACACAACACTTGTGAATTGGTGCCATATAAATTTAGATAGATAGATAGATAGATAGATAGATAGATAGATAGATAGATAGATAGATAGATAGATAGATTGATAGATTGATTGATTGATTGATTGATTGATTATATGCCAACGTCTACATCATATTTGAGATTATATTTTATTAATTTTTAAGAAAAAATGGTTAATTAAAAAAATAGATAAAAGTTATTATTTTACTTTAGCATATTTTTCGTATTTTGTCTCTGAATTTAGGAGTGCACCAGGGGTTGCTGATTCCCTAAAAGACGTCTATCCCTGAAACCCCTCCCCACCCGAGAACAGCTGAATATGCAGTTAAATTTGAGTTAAATACCTCTCAAAGCTGCAATGAATTAGAAAATGTGTCTTTTCTAGAAGTGTATGCTATGTTGACAGTTTGTATGAAGCAGCCACGTGGGTTCATCCTCTGCCTTGGGATGTACTGTGAACTATTAATAGGAGGGTAACGCCCCATCACTTGAAGCTGGGGTGCCACATCCCACTTTGTTTCCCAGGTGCACGAGAGAAACTGGGGTCACTCCGGAGGGAGGCACACAGAAGACGGAACAATGACGGGCGGCATCGCGGGGGTCGAGAGGTTCGACAGTCCGGGAAAAGGACGAGGACTCCGCGTTACTAAAGCCTTCAAAGTGGGGGAGCTGCTGTTCTCCAGCCCGGCGTACTCCTATGTGTTATCAATGAAAGAGAGAGGCAGTAACTGTGAATGCTGCTTCACGAGGTAAGTCTCTGCTATATGTGCGTTTACAGTGTATTTCTGTGTCTCTTTAAACTGCTCGTGATATTTGAGTTAAATGCCAACATGCCGTCTAACTCATGTAACCCTCAGTTTTCTGCAAACCACCGTACCCACACACTGCACCACGTGGGAACTTTGCCAAATGTGTCACTCCTTAAAATCTATTTTGGTGATGCAGCTCATCTGTCCATATGAAAGTTCATGCATATCATATTCCCCATGGCCGAATACCTTTAGTGGCCCCCCTTATGAACGCTGAACACGAGAGATAAATGTCGGCTGAGTAGCATCATATTAACACAATACATTGGCTTTCAACTGTGGCTGCTGTTTTGATCGATGCATGGATCATAAATTACTCACATATGGTTATCTATTTTCCACACACACGCCACCTTTCCACAGGTTGATGGAGTCAACATATTGAATAAGCAAATTCTTATTTGGCTTGTTAGTATGTAGTAGTTAGTATTAAGCTAGTTATTTCAGATGTTTTTCATAATAATCATGATGTTATCAATCGTTCTTACAATCAATATCTTTATATCTGTCCTACGCCACAGGTGGATGTGGATGTACTGCTGCCTGTACACACACAATCTATGTTTTGAGAAATGGCTGTACATTATTGTCATGCTTTACATTACGAAAGAAGAACTTGACCTTATTGAATTATCTCACATTCTTTTTATATGCAGTATAGATGATTAACATTAAAGCTACCATGGTTTGTCCTTTTTTGATATGCGTAAATGATGTGGGAATAATGGGAGGGGCTGTTTCAGTGATCATTCAATGTAGAGTTGAGTGTAGACACTTGTACTTCACATCAGGCAGTGAGTTCAAGTGTCCAAACATTTTACAGCAGGACTTTTGGACCATACTTTACCATTTCAGAGTGGTAAAAGACAGCTGGTGCGTCATAAGGTCAGCTCTATTAATACGACAGAACGTTTTAAAGCCCTTCATTGCTATCAGTTACGACTGGCCACCAGCAACTGCTACTTCTTGTCTCAGAGAAATAAAGCAGGATGTTTCAGTGTCCAACACTCATGAGTGACGTGGTTGTGTCTGCGGGAAATACAAGAATGTGTAAAGATGTAGTGGCTTTTTCATCCAGTGTTGTTTGTTATCCATAAACAACTAAGTTTTTTTTTTTTTTTTTTAAAGGAAGGAGGGCTTGGCAAGATGTGGAAAGTGCAGGAAAGCCTGCTACTGCAATGTGAAATGTCAGGTAGGAAACACACCAGGACAGTGCGGATGACTCAGTAATATCACCGTTGTCTGAGTATGTCACATGTCACTCTATGGCACTAATCAGAGCTGATCAAATAATAATAATCGTCGCCATAATGTAATTTTTTGTGTGTCTTGTTTTTATAATTTTTGTTCACAAGAAAAAGATTCTCAAATAACCCTGCTGTGCAACAAAGACCAGCCTGTACTGTTGAGCAGATAGGGTGGAACAGCAGTGTGTGTGTGTGCATGAGTGTTTGTGTATGTAACAATTCTGCTGTTGTTACTATGCCATTTTAGATTTCATTAACTAAAAAAAAAAAAAAAAAGTTTCTATGTGTAAGAGTTGCAAGATAAAAAAAAGGCTTGTGTTTACATTTTCTGCTACACAAATTCAAACAGAGTAATTCTTTGGATGTTTGAATGAAAGTAAAGGTTAATGGTTGGCCAAGAGGTCAAAGCGCCTGTCTCATGTACAGAGGCTGTAGTCCTCGTCACAGCAGTCGCTTTAAGAGTATTCAGCTGATTCTGGGTATGTGAATCTAACATGTATATTTAGCCATTCATAGGCTGGTTTGTAACCTCTGTTTTGGGTTATATAGTAAACGAAGGAATGAAAATATCTGGTTGGTGCTTACATGGACAGCTAACAAAAGAGGATATGGAATATGGCAATTTCTAGTGGCTTTTTAATAAATTTAAAAGTCAGTGGCAAGACATAGACATTTGTGATTTTTTTTTTCTGCTTGTTTGACTTCAAGATAATTAGAAAATTCCAATCTGATGTGATTAATAACAGCCATTAAGTCAGACCTTTTTAAGAAAGCTACGACTGCTATGGAAGCTGTTCAAACTGTGAGAGTGAGAAATATAGACATTTTTGATTCAACAAAATCATTAAATCATCATTGTAGTTAAATTTTCGGTCAAATAAAGTTCTTGATTATCCAGCAGGCAGTCCTCTAATCAGTGGGGAGTGCATACATAACTTATGATGGTAAGGTATGTAAACAATAAGATGTAAAATGCATGGTGTCACTTTCTGATACCATAATTTTTATGGTGATGAGTTTCAACATAGAGGGCGACCCCACAGTCACTTGTCTTTTTGTGTGGTGTTTTTAACTTATATTTTAGGGCTTTTGTTCCTTTATTTATAGTGTATAGGGAAGTAGATAGAGCTGAAACCCTGGAGAGAGTGAAGAGTGACATGCCAAAAATAGGGTCACAGGCTGTAATTGATCCCAGGAATCCTGTTTAAGGGCCTTTGTGCGTGGGGTGAGTGACTTAACCACCCCGTAGTCACTAGTTTGCATGTGTAGTGTTAAATGAGTGGGGGTAACATCAGGTTAACACTATGTTGAGCCATATTTCATAATGCTTCAGCTGTTGTTGTGATGGAAACCAAGTGTTAACATATGAGTGGGCTGTAGACTTAAGGGTTTGTCTTTTGTAATGTGCTTATCAAAATGTTTGTGTGTTTTTGTGTAGAAAGCAGACTGGGCCATGCACAAGCTGGAGTGCTCTGCAATGACTGCATTTGGAGAAAACTGGTGCCCATCAGAGATGGCCCGCCTTGTGGCTCGGATCCTTGCCAAGAAGGTTGGACACATTGTTCTTCTGAAGTGCTGTCTGGTACATACTGTGCAGTTCATTAGTGTTGTGGTACTTGAGTCTAGGACCCAGACTCAATTTCAACTGGAGGCCCGATTGTCAGAACTCTCCATAGTCAGACTATTTACAGAGACTGGTTTTTGTTAGATTTTATATAAGTCTCTGATAATTGACTCAGTTTCCAGCAGCTTTGAGGTTTTAAAGTAGTCGCAAGCAAGAGCAGAGAAACATGTTTGATATGTGAGAGAACCATCCAGGAGAAGAGAGGAACAAGCTTAAATTTCCACAGATGATCTGTCCAGGATACACCCAAAAAAGTAGAGATACTGAAGTTACTTTAACTATCGACTACATCATTGACAGCAAGCTAATGGTAAGGCCAACATCTAAAATGAACAACAAACCTCAACCACTTAATGCAAGATGTTTAGTCAGCTACAGTTCTTTTTATCAGTGATTGCAGGTATTTCTGAGTTGATTAGATACTTGCAGTGATTTGACTCCAGCATAGCCAATAAGTGTGTCACCCTCTACAAAGAAATGCAGTGCACATGTATGCATAACACGCAGGACTGTAGCTTCAATTCAGATTCTTTTCTGGTGGTTAAAATCAAGGTTTAAATATCTTAATTGTGGCTGTTTTTATCTACAGAAAACACAGAAAGAAAGGAGTGCTTCAGAGAAGATCCTACTCATAGAAGATATACAATCCCGTAAGCATTTCACACACACATACACTTAGGTTTATTTTTCACATTTTGATCTCTGTGGTTGGGAACTAATCTGCTAAACTTCTGTGGATTTGGTCTGTCCAGATTCAGGACAAGTGTCCAGTGATATCCCTCTTTGAAAACTACAACCTAGTGAGATTAGACTGAGAGAAACATTCCAGGCCGCATCTATAAATATCCTATAGATATAGGTCAAACAGCCACCAGACAACAAAACAAGTGTCATGACTAGAAGTAGAAGCATAAGCACTTTAGTCTAACATACACAGCACTGACTGCATGAGTGCCTGTTAGTCAAATAGTGTTAGATGTAGTAAACTGATAGTTAAAGCTCCAGTGAGGAGTTTTTCTGCTGGCCATGAAGTAGAAATTAACAGCAATGCCGAATTAAACCACACCGACAAGCCTACGAATTTCTCTGATGTAGTTTTTAATGCCTGTAACTATGACAACAGGGTATATGTCAGACTGGGTAATTCACAGCACAGTAGGGAAAAGAAGCTTTTTTTCACAGCAAATTTTCAGGTTGAAAAATGCGCTTGAACAGCAAAAAGCAGAAAGGGATTTTTTTTTTTTTTGTCAGAAAATACTGTTTATGTATACACAAGGAAAGAATTACAGGGAGATGAGAGGTATCATTTTTGTTTGCAAGGGGCACCAAAATCAACCCAAAGGTTCTCAAAGGAACCTCAATGTTTAGCTCAAGTATTTTGACAACCTTGTAATTTACATGAAAATGTATGATTGGGTTTGTTGTCTTCGTATAATCCACAGTTTTAGCAGAATCAAGCACTAGTGTGTAAGATAAGATAAGAAGAACTTTATTAACCCCAGAAAGGAAATTCAATAAGTCAAAGAAACAAGTAAAACTTTTATTGCAGCTGTGGACAAACATTGAATGGCCTCTAGTCAGTCTTTTTGAAGCATTACATCTGAAAATTTGCTGAGATTTTAAATAAGAGGTTTGGCATCACAATAAATGGGCTCCCCACGTTCCTGTTTCCAATTTCTTCCTCATAATGAAGCTAGTAGCCGCAGATTACATCATCCACTGCAAACGCAACTCGCCCACATCGCCAAACAAACTGCTAGCAGAAGATTTGCATTACTGTGGAGCATTGATAATGCAGTAAACAGCTGAAAGCAAGTTGTGAGATTTTGGCAATCAATTTGGTTATGTGAAGTTTTCCTTGTATTGTATTTTTTTTCTTTTCCGGATGTACCTCTGAATCCTCTTACAAACTTGAGCCTCTGTCAGAAAACATGGACAAAACGTACTCACGAAAGCACCAGCAAAATGGCTTAATTTGAATAGCTAGTATTTTATCCCTTTAATGCTTTTTGCATCATGTTTGATACATACTTGTATGATAATTCTATTAATCAATATGATCAACAAATGACTACAAAAACTTGAATACAGTTCGATAAATGATAAAAAAAAAAAAAACTCTTGAGGTTTATCAGTTTCCAAAAACATCTAATGTATCAAATGAGATTAACAAATATATTTGTTAAATTTTAAGGACATTCTAATGTTTTGTTTTTCAATAGTGAGTGAAATAAACATTTCAGTTACAAAAAAAAATTGAATTTTCTGGCCATAATTTGTGGTTTCAGGCATTATAGGGTTAAAGTTCAAACATGTATGTGGTGATGTAAGCTGCTAGAAACAATCTTTATTTGTGTTTACATTTGATATTTTATCTGAACTTAAGCCTCCCTTTGAAACTCGGAGTCAGTGGATGTGTCTGGTTTACAAGACTGAATAGGCTCTAGTGTTACAGGTCAGAAATACACTCACACACAGACACACGCAGACACACGCAGACACACACACATTCATTGCCAGGCCAATCATATCATATGTGTGACAAGGCAAAAGTGCTTTCCTGTCTTAGCACAGTGAGAATGACAAATGAGGGAAAGCTGTTATCCTCGTCTATTTACAGGTGTTAGTGATAAGCAGACCAGAGCTGATGAAAACACTCTCACATTTCCTGTAACAATGTCCATACACACAATGCCAGAAGACGGGGGATGAGAAATGGTGTACACCCCCAGATTTGCACAGAGGTAGCTTGAGATAGCAAGAATAGAGGGCATGTACGTTGCTTCATGGCCTCATTTGGACCAAACCAGTACAATAAATGCACATCAGAATAATATACTCTGCTGCAATGCTGTCTTGGTTTTTTTAGTTTTAGCCAGACCAAAGTGTTTACCAGATTTTATATTATGTTCTAAAAAGACTACAGACCTCAGAGACCTTAAAAGAAATCTAAGGATAAGGATTCATTCAAAGTGTGTTCTCCTTTCCCTGGGCAGATGAAGAGGATGTTGACAATGAAAAGAGAGAGATGACTGAATTAGATGTGGCTGGACTTCATCGCTATTTTTCCAAACATTTGGACTTGCCTGACCATAAAGACCTGCTCACAGTCTTTTCTCAGGTAACATGCAGACACACATATAAAAGACTGGAGATTAAGTTAGATTCTCACTTTGCTGTCTGAGTCGTGTCAGGTTGGGCATAAATCATGTGGCCCACACAATCGGCTTGTCAAACATAAAAAAATGTAGCAAAGTAAACAAACTTGATTGTTAAGATGTTGTATTGTGTCCTTTCTCCAACAGGTTGCTTGCAATGGTTTCACTATAGAGGACGATGAACTGTCCCACATGGGAACTGCAATCTACCCAGAGTAAGAATAAACTCTCTCATGTTGTTGTCCTTGGATATTTTTTTCAAACTGTATTGATATTAGGTTTTTGATTGCTGGTATTTGTAGAGTGGATTAGAGTAGACAGAAATTTATTGATCCTTTTGGGAAATTAAAGGGCTATGCAACATTAATCCGATTATCATTTAAAAAAAAAATCGACTTTTTCTCCAACTGCTGGTAATTCACTGACTCAGACCCCCTCCCCCAACTTTCGCTCTTAAGTTCTTAAACTGGCTGTGAAAGGGTGAATTGACTCCTCAGCTCATTTTTGAGCTATTCCCAGCTGGCCACCCAGGTAATAGAGAGGTCACTGATATATTTCAGAAGCAACAAGACCCCCTGTAAGAGCAGCTGTAGCATGGTGCCAGTACCACTCAGAAATAAAGGGTCACTCATATGCCATGGCTGTTTTTGCATTCGTCTTATTGTTTCAACATAATGCGTCCTAATGAAAAAAACATCTACATCATCTTTTTTTCTTCTTCTTTCCTTTCCTGTCTCTGTAGTGTGGCGCTAATAAACCACAGCTGTCTTCCCAGCGTCATAGTCACTTATAACGGGACGTCGGCTGAGATTCGTGCTGTAAAGGACATGAAGCCTGGAGATGAAGTGAGAAAAGGGGACAGCTGTAGTTATAAGGGATTGGGTCTTATTCTGTTTTTTTTTTTTCAGTGTGTCTGTGATACGATGAGGGTAGGGGATATGAAATATTTGTCTGTGTCTTTGAAAACAACTCAATTATGCTGCACTGAAAGAAACAAGATCCCCCCGTTTACTCACGAGAACATCTAATTACTTTCTCTCATCAGTACTAAAGAATTGATTTTCTTTAAATAAGTTATAACCCCAGAAAAATAAGAATTCTGCACCCTTAAAGTAGAGTGTGGGTCATAGAGCAGCATTTAGCAGATCAGACTTGGCAGAAATAGAATTTTAAAATCCATTAGTTTAAATTAGTGTATGATCACTGTAACACAAAACTTGTTTTGTTTTATGATGTTTTATGATTTCTTTAGCAAAGAGACTAAACACAACTCACCAACTCTCCTCCAGCAGCTGTCTGTTTCTGGGGGAGCCCTGATGAGTCGATCACCGAGTGCAGCGGAGTTCCGCAGCTCAAGGAAGAACATTTATGATTAATACTTCATGAAAATACAATCAGACCGGGACGCTAATGCAGAAGAACTACTGCGTCTGCAGTGCAAAATGGTTAATATGATGATTATTACTTAAAGGAAACGATCTGCTGCACTCTGTGATCAACTCATCAGGGCTCCCCCACAAACAAGCAGCTGCTGGAGGAGAGTAGGTGAGTTGTGTTTGGTCTTTTTGCTAAAGGAATCGGGCAAAGCTAAAAAGATGTTTGATAGCTCGTGCTATGGCTGGGACCCTATATGTACTGTCGATGAAGTTAGGTGCTGTTCTGAGCATTATTTGTGGCTATAGAGTGGCTTTTTGGTTTAGGTTTGGGTGTGGAGATGTAGACCGCTGTGTATTGCTATCGTGCGGTCATTACTAAAGTTGGTATAACTAGAGAAGCAAGGAGTCAGCAACATTCATCTCTCAAGGGGGTGTCTAATCCAGTGTTATGGTGTGTTTGACCATAACCTAATTTGATGCTGGAATATTCCTTTGATAAGCAAACCAGTAACATACCTATTTTTCTAGTAAGTGAGTGGGTGTATCGAATATAGCAGTTGTAACATCGGGAAGAAGAAGACAGTGGTTGCATGGAGCAAAAGATGCTGTATTGATTCAAGTTTTTGATGTTAAAAATTTGATAATATCATACCATCATGCATCACAAGAGCCTTTGTTCCTCAAAAGCCACCATGGTTTCATCACCAGAATGGGTGAGCATGACCTTTCACCCTAAAATCTGACCACTAGAGAGCTCTTCATATTCCCAATTCCAAATACTGTGCCTTTATACTGAGAACAATAGTTTAAATTTTTTTATTATTATTTATTATTATTTTTATTTTTTAAAGTCTGGGACAAATTTTGCACTATAACTGTCACAACATTTTCCACTTATACAGGCTGAAAAAGAATTTATGCTTTGTATCATTTTAATAACGTATGACTTAGGGTGCCTCAAATAAAGTGACTGCACTGCACAAGGTTATTGATTATATGTTCCTATAACACATTTTTAAGAACTTATAGGCAGTGCTTTGTTGCTGTAAGTAAAGTGTCAGACAAAAAATCACTTTAAGAATATTTTTATATTCACAAAAATTATTTTCTGCATTACTGTATAAAACATTATCAACTTGTCATTCTCACTGCTTATAATACTTCATAAACATTACTATAAGCTGTATACTATAAGCAGTTTACTTTTCTGGTCAGTGTGTCCAGACTGCTGTCTAAGAAGAGTGTGTGCGTGGTGAGAGGGGGGAAGGGGCATCAACAGCTGATTTTAGAGGCTGGTGTGTCTATTTTCAGACTGGGATTTTGACCTGGACACTAGGGGCTTCAGACAGAACGAAGTGTCAGGGATCAAGAGTGAGCATTAGTCAGGGTTCTCATGTAACGTGTGTTTGGGTGTTTCCTCCACCTGCAGGTGCTCATCAGCTACATCGACCTCCTCTACCCAACAGATGACCGTAACAACCGGCTAAGAGAGTCTTATTACTTCACCTGTGAATGCCAGGAATGTAAGAGCAAGTCCAAGGTAAGAGGATGAGTAAAACATGTGTTCTTTCACTGGAATTCACAGTGTGTTTGTCAGACAGCTGCGATTCAGAAGCACTTCCTGCTCTAGCGGACTCTCATGCTCTTTGACTTGTCTCATCACAGGACAAGGTAAAACTCAAAGTAAGAAAGCAGAGTGACCCCATTGAGCAAGATGTCATCAACAACATGGTGCGCTACGCCAGGAAAACCATCAGAGAGTTTCGGGCCCTCAAGACGGTAAAAAATATCCTTTCACTGTTTTAACAACAACCCTGGAGGAAACGCCAACAAGAAACTAGGTATCAGCTAGATTTTGGAGTTGATTACTAGGCATAGACAGCTTCTTGCTTATTTTACTGACCTTGCTTTAACCTTGAGCCTTGAAAAATAAACTGATTGTTTCAGATAATTTGAGCATGGATGACGGGGGTTCAAAAGTTCAAAAGTTAAAGATGTCAGATGACAGCTCAGTAGCTGTTCCTCACTAGTAGAGGTTTTACAGCCCTCCGACTTGGCCACACTAGATTGGCTTTTTGCCTTGTTGGAGGTGGGACTTGAGCTAAAAGTGACAGTTTTGACTAATTGTAGCCCTTTTTGCATTTAAATATGGTACATGTTTTGTCAGAACTTCAAGTTGTTATTTTGGGTGTGATATTTCTATAGAGGAGTAAAACAAATCGATAAAACTTTACTACTACAGCCTGCACAAACATGACCAAGCAGGGCCCCCCCTTAATAAAATGTCTTGTCAAGCCCCTGTGTCCATTCTTTATAAGATCCGATCAAATAACTAGAGGTCCACTGATGTCTCAGTAAAACTTCAGCTTATGTTGATGCAGCCTTGACTCTCAAGCACCCCCCAGTGAGCTGCTAGAGATGTGTGAGCAGAGCCTGGAGGAGATGGGAGCCATCTTTGATGACTCTAACGTCTACATGCTCCACATGATGTACCAGGCCATGGGGGTTTGCCTCTACATGCAGGATCCAGACAGAGCAATCGCATACGGAGAGAAGATCATCAAATTTTACAAGTATGTCTTCGTTCAAACACTCACGTAGGCTTTCAATATTACAGTATTGGATCAACTTGTTGGGATTTAAGTAATTTTTGGCGTGAAGGTTGTTCGCCCATGACACTTAAGTATAGTAGAGTGATCTCTTCACTTTTGTTAACACTTGCTTGTAAGTTTTACATATTTACCTATTTGCTTTCAATCCTTAAAATGACCATAGTGAACTAACATTAGAAGAAGATTGGACAAGGGGAATTTTAATAACCTTGATACCTTCATCAACAAACTACTTCTCTCTTTTGAAGGAGTAGTTTACATGTTCTGACCATGAATGATACATTTGATTTCTCTCTGACGCAGCAAGCTGTACCCACCCTACTCTTTGAATGTGTCCTCCTTGTACCTGAAACTGGGCAGACTGTACATGTTGATGGACAGGCACTCAGTGGGCATCAGCGCTCTGAAAAAGGTAACATGACACGCCAAGTCTTAACATCAGCATTAAATCATTATATATAGAAAATGCAGAGCACTAGGAGCTTAATTAATGACAAAACATGCTCTACTAATGAAATGCTGTGACAAAAAAAACAGTCCCTAAAAGTGATCTGCATTGGTATTGATACTCACTTATTTAGCAGTACTTATCTGCATATTTACTTAACCACAGACATTTCAACATTACAAACAATTATGCCTTAACACAAGCAGCTAATTAATAAGTGTAATACAACACTGTTTATTTAGAAAGTTGAATGGAAACCTGTCTATTAAAGGAAAAGGCAAGGAAAGTGTAAGCTGACGCACTCCCAATAATCAATAAACCTCAGTAGTTCGACCACTTTGTCAATGCAGATTTTAGATCTTTCTTTAAATGGTTTTTGTTTTTTATTGTTATATTAGTAAACCACGTTTTTTTTTAGCTTTTTGTTTGTTTTGTTACTCTTTTATTTTGAAAATCCTGCACATGCCTGGTGTAAAACGCTAAAAACGGGTGTTTCTTTGTGTTTGCACAGGCAATGGCTATTATGGAGGTGGCTCATGGGAAGGATCACTTCTACCTGAAAGAGCTGCGCAAAGAGATGGCACAAAAATAATGAAAAAAGTGAACTCATGTGTCACTGCTTACCTCCAGAGATTGCATACGCTCCTTCATTTGGAGTTTTACAGAACTGTAGGCACTTTCTACCTATTTTGGTACCAAAGGAAAAAAAAGCTTTGTCATGTTTTTATGGAAAGAAATTATTTTCTATGGACAGCCTTTATTAGTCAGTGTATGTATGCAAGAACTGTTAATTTTGTGGGAAATTTTTGTAAAAACAATTAAATGTTCTTAGTGATTTCTAATTGAGGGGTGAACTCCAAATTGTGTCCAGTTTTGTTTGTTTTTGCTCATGAATGACCCAACAGTTGAACCTCATCATTTATCACAGGTAAGATGTTCACATATTGGTGTATTGTGTTGACAATGTCCCTGTGAGGACAGCTGCCTCACCACAAGAGGCCTGTTAAAGCTGCAAAATATCCCAGAGTCACCATACCATGAACAGCTGGGGTAAAGCATTGGAAACCTTTTGTGAGCCCTCTAAATAACAACTCTGTAGTTGCGTGTCAAGCAAACCTTATTCACACTCCGAGATTGTGATTTTAAATCTAAAATCTAAATGAAATGCAGCCACAGATTTAAAGAAAATAAGGCTTTATTGCATAATAAGCAAGTACGACAGCTTCATACATGTCTGGGGAGAGAAAATAAAAGACTTGATGAACTACAAACGAATATACAAAACATATGTACACATATTTTGAAAGGTATTTGGGAGTTTTGCCAAAAAAAAGGGAAAAAATTAAATATAAACAAACAGTGGAATGCCATGTGAAGAAATACTGTCACAAAGAGAAAAGAAGTGCAACAAAACACTTAAATGTCAAGAGAGCATAAAGCTTATACTTACTTGAGAATATATACATTGAAATAAAAAAATGCATGCATAGTTAATTATGTTGCGGTATTTTTAGAGTACCAAGTCAAAAAGAGAAACTATATAAAATACTTGTAGAATTCTTTTCTTACATGTCCAGTATATACAGAGTTACGTTGGACATGACTGACTTTGCATTACAATTCAGAAAAATACAAAGTTTATGTAAAATAAAACTCAAAAGAAAATCTTCAGAATGTAACTTTACAAACAGAAAATGATCAAGGGAGGAAAACTTTAAAATTAGTCGGGTTTAGATCAGATCATTTCAAATGGCAAAGTCAGTTGTGTCTCTTTTTTATTATCCTTCAAAATAAAAGCAAGACAACAGCTTTACGTTACAAAAAAAACCCTTACCTGACAGTAAAGATCTGACATGTTACTTTTGATGGAGTGATCATATAAAAGTACAAACTAAAATATTGATTAAAGATTTAATCTTTGGAGGTAAAATTAAAAAAAAAGATTTTAGTTTTCTTCCTGTTTAATGTTTCAATAAGGCACTATGATACAGTTTCTGCTGCTTCAGGACAATTCTCCTTTGCATAAGAAAATGTTAAAAAGCAACACTGATAAATTCAATGTTTGAAATGAAATTGAAGAGAAAGGCTTTTGAAAAAATACAGTAAACATTTAGATAAGATTAAGAGACAAAAAGCATAAAAATGACAGGCCAAGATCAATATGCTTGTCTGTTCAATAACCAATGTGAGCTTGATCTTGGGAGGAATAAATAAAAACATTTGTTACACTGGTGAAGTATATACTTGTTGCAAATATCAATACTCTAAACGTTGAATCAAAGAACACTTGTTTGGCAAACTCAAAGTAGAAAATGCTCATAACACTGCTGCCACCTACTGTTCAAAGCAGCACATTGCCATTTAGAGAGATGGCTAAAAGATTATATGAGACGTCTCAAACTGATACTGACATTTAATTTCTTCAGATATTTCTTGAGATAGCTCATAAAGACAGATTAAAAGGATAAAAATAAAACCCAAGAGAGGAAAAACATCTGAAAAAAATTAGAGAAAAAAATGGTTGTCACTTTTTTTATACAGGCCCAAACAAATCAGCCCTTCTCCAGGGACATTGGCATGAAAATCCATGTGAACTTTTATTTAACACAAACTGCCACAAGTCTGAACCTGAACCTCTTAGTTTGAATCCAGAAAACTCTGCGGCAACCTTAAGTACCGTATTTGTTATCTGTGGCATCATCAAAGTTTAAGACTCCGAGCTTAAATGAGGCGGGAGTTCTTGAGGAACTGGATGAGGACCTGATAGACAAACTTGTACTGGTTGATGGTCTGCACCATAAGCATCCTCTGCTGCCTCAGCTCTGACAACATGGTGGGAACCTCCACTGGCTATAGGAGGAAGGAAGAAAGACAGAAAAATATGGTCACTGAAAAAAAACACATCCAGCTTGGGATGTTTAGGCCACAGTCTGATATCACACCACATGAAACTGCATCCCTTACTGTGGCTCTGTAAACTCTCGTCACTGACCTCATTGTGCTCCAGGCAGCTGATCATGAGCTCTGTGAGGATGACCACTCCGGTGCGACCCACCCCTGCACTACAGTGCACCACCACAGGGGGATTGAGGCTCTTTGAGGTGTCCAGCATGGAGTTGGTGTGTCTCCTCACAGACTGGATCTCCTCTAGGTAGGCTGGAGAGAAAACAGAGAAAGCTTGACATGAGTATCAATTTTGTTTCTCCATATTTTTGGGTTTGAATTTATAGTTATTAGTTAGCTCCTAGTCTTTATGCTAGACTAAATTAATCTGCTAGCCTCATATTAGAAGTCCAGATATGAGAGCAATAATCATTTTCTTTGCTAATAGTGTGAACACAAATTACTGAACGATTCCAAATGCAACACTCAGTGCGTTTACATGCACAACCTAATTGGACTAAGCTTACAACTGTTTGTTTTTCGAAGAATCCAACTTCTCTACTTGTCCGCGTATACATGCAGCTGAGAAAATCTAATTATTGATGTGAACGTGTCCTCCTCCCCAAAACGAGGTGGCGATATAGGTCTTTTTCGAGGGGCTGTTTTGATTGACATAACAACAGCAGGTTCGTGCCAGACGTCGGAAGTGGCTACAACTGCTGCTGGGCATTTTCAAGCATGAAGATGGAGCATTGTACAGCATTGTTTTTGTCATACAGGATGTACGCGCTACTTTTTCTGCAGATGAGATGCACGCTACTCCTCTTCTCTGGTGTTTTTGGGTTACAAGGCCATGGCGCATGCGCACATGCATTGTCCTATCATACTCCGGCTACACTGGTTACATGGTAGAGAAAATCGAATTCCGATCGCATTATCTGGGTGTCTTAATGGAAGTTCTCCGCCTATAATCGGTGCTCTCAAAATCTGGTTATAGTCGGACTAAAGTGTTTACATGCACTTCAGTTGTCCAGTCTTACTTGGGGTAAGGCAAAAATTTGGTTGTGTCATGTAAACATACTGACTCACTTTCAGTTGTCCTTAGAAAATAAAACCATTCTCTCACTTTACACTTGGTATCATAATGGCAGTAATAATTTCCCTTGATTTTTCCAATCCTTTGTAAATATTAAAATATTAACTTCATTCTTAAAACAAACTTAAGTCACAAAATTCCCACAAAATAATAACAATGAGATAATCCAACTCACATAGGAATCCCTGGACATATTCAGGACAGCCCTGCTCAGGCCAGTCAGTGTACTGCAAATGCCAGACCGTCCTCTCCTGGCCCGACAGCAAGTGTTTGACCTTTAACCCCGTGGTGGCGTAGCAGCCTGAGTCTGTGCGGAATTTGGTAGTCACCTTGAATTTTCCATGAGTGGCTGAGTTGTGTTTGGAGCCCAGTTTGGGCCAGTAGCGGTGACTCTTGGACCTGCCACCCTCCTGTGTGGAGGAAAGGGGCAAGACGAAGGTAGATTTGTTTACACTCAACCACAAAGACACAATTACAAACACACTCTTAATATGTTCCCTTTTTTTCCACAGACAAACAGACACCAGCTGTCTGCCGCTGAAAAATAGCCGCATCTGCATGTGCCATGTGTGTGAGTACCTCCTCAGCTGTAACCATGGCAATTACGTTGACCCCCTGCTCCCAGACCATCTGCCAGAAGTCAGCACAGGTGTTGGCTAGTGGGCCTTGGGTGGCAATGTAGTGCCACTCCTCTCCTCTGATCATCACCTAGGAAAACACACACACATACAGAAATAAATTAACACGTGGAAAATTCTGTGATTAAACTATGAGCATAAACATGAAAAGACACAAAAATGTATCAATCTAAATTCAAGAAAACAGTATTTTAGCAAGAGCAGAGCTAATTAAACATTCCACAGTGCCATTACATTTTCCACCACATGAGGGCAGTATAATCATCACTTTTCTCCACAGTCTTGTATCAACTCTGCTGTTGCGGTCCCTCACTAATAATTATTAACCACCACAGAGGACTTGACACTTTCCATCTTTAGCACCCTGCAGACTTCAGAGTGTCATTACATAATGTCCTGGATAATTCTTCGCCCACCTCGTGATTGTAAACACTGTATTAAGAAATGGATGGGGGAATAAACAAGGGCTTTAGTTTCGCTGCAGCTACCTTAAATGAAGGGAAGGGGAAATAAGAGGGTTACACGCTGATAGGCAGCGGTTCAGTGCCGCTCCGGTGACCATTCTCACGCACCGGACTGCAATTAGGCAAAGACATGAAATGCAAAGTCATGCATAGTCGCTGTTTGTAAGCATGAACAGAAGGCTGGTGAGAGCAGCTCAGGTTGACTTAAGAGGGTTTGGAGTTTGGACCACATTCTTTGGGAATTCCTCTGCGAGCTTAAAGGACCTAACGGCCTTCAGCGGCTGCCTTTTTCTCCATCCCTCTGAGCTGTTCCCTGCTTAGGAATGACCACAACAAAGACCAGCGGAGGGCTGAGCATTTCAAGTTTAAGCTTTTTGTTTTTATTCATGCAGTGTGATGTGGGTGTTGCAAAGAACTTTCAGGCTTTGACTGTAGTTAACAGATATGGATATAGACTTGAAAATACATGTCTCTGTTATTCTTTCCCTCTAAATGAAAATACAAAGATTTTTGAACCAAAATGTTGGTAAACATGGATTAAAGTATTTTAAATTCCATCCCAGAATTTTGATGACAGAATGAACTGGCTGTTTAACTTCAATGTCTTTAAGCTAGCTCATTTTGTTTCTGAAGCCTGGAAAAAGCGTCAGGATTGTTTATATGCTTCATTGGTTTAATGTCTGTTATCTGGTTTTCATCTGCTAATAAATGTTCCTTTTTTTTTGGCGTCTTGTAAGCCCACTCAGGTTGGGCACTTCCTATGCACGTTAATAAGAAATTTCAATTCAAATTCTACATGATCAGAAAATCTCTGGCTTTTTCCCAAAGACCTGATCTAGAAAAGTGCAAATATGCTTTTCTAATCTTGCCAGTAACATAATGGTTACTTAAGAATATGCTGCTTTTTTTTTTAAAGACAGTCTTGCTCGGACTTTTTGTTACAGATTTTGCTTATTCACCAAACTTAGTGACATCATTAACATTCTGCGCTCCACTTTACACAACATGTCTGTGGTGTAGTCATAGTAAAGGAAAGATAAACAATGTAAAGGTGGCATATAATAATGCTCTTATGCTGCGCTCAAGTTGCTTCGGAAGTCAAGTGTCCGAGCTGGGAATCATGTCACACAAGTCGGAAAAAAGCAGAAACAAGATGGCTACATCTACGAAAATTATTTTAGCGCTTGCCTTGTCCAAAAGTAAGCAACGTCTGGACACTTATGCGGTCCCTCTGCAACATCTTGTTTCCGCCTCCAATTTTGCTTTTTTGCAACTTGGTAACTGAAACGCCGGTAACTCAAGTGTGACATCATTTCAAATTCCAAAGCATTAGAATCCACCTCAAGTACCAAAGATGGGAAAATGCGATCAGAATGTTTCTCACTTTTAAAGCATTACTTGGGAATTTTATGTGTAAATTCATGCGCAGGCTGACTGAGTCCAACAATTGTATCATGAGGTCTTTGACTGACTTGACCCTAAGTGAGGCAAGATCTTCCAGCCTTTGGAAATATTAGCGTCAACATTTGTATGTATTCAAACCACTGCGCACATGTCTGTGTGTAATTTTATGTTTGTCTATATATTGTGTGTGTCTTTACATCTGGACCTCGAGTCTGTCAAATGTCTGTCAGGGACATTTAACCCTTGAGATCTTGAGCGCACCTTTATATGCGAGGCATTGATGTAGCCTGTGTTGTTCTCCTTGTTTGGAACGAGCTCGACCCGGTTCTCTTCATATGGAACCACGTCACGGAAACGGTTTCGCTCTGTGTTTTCAGGCAGGGTTGCTGTGGTGAGAACACAATCTGCCCTCTTCTTGGGAACCTGCTCATACTCAGTGAAGACCCGCTCTTCTTCCAGCTTTAACTCCAAGGTCTTACACTGTGGGGACAGAGAGAGAGAGAAAGAGAGGAGAGGAGAGGAGAGGAGAGGAGAGGGTGTTAGTCATCACTCAGAGGTTTCTCTTTCATTTACATTCCACATTTCCTCAGAGACAATTCAGAGCAGGAAGATCCAAAAACCTCACCACAGTAAAGGTCCATATTCCTGGACTCTCATTATCACTCACTCTGAATGCACACAAAGTATTTGAATGCATCATCATGGCTGTAAAGGAGCACAGTAAGCGGCAGTGGTATTCAGCTATGTTTACAAGGCATGTCATGGTTGAGAGGCCAGCATCCCTCTCTCACTCTCCCTCTCTCTGAGGCTCACTCGCTCTCTCTCGGGTCAAATTCTTAACATACCAATGGGCCTAGAGGCGATAAGCACCACCATGCCACGCGTTCCACAGCCCACTTAGTGCTTACCCCCGTTAGCTTAGCAACGGTCAGAACAAAGGCCCGGTTTCACACTTCCACATTGAAAGAGGAGAGCAGACAGACAGTATTTGGGAATTGAGATGCAATAAATGGTGTGATTATTACAGACTGTTTATTAGTTTACTCTGACAAACCGTCAACTACGCATCCTTAATCAACAGGTGAGAAACCTGTACGATTGAAGGCATCCCACTGATCCTCAAATGATCAGAGAGACTCAAGTTAAACTCTTAAGTTGTTTTTTATTTTTCACATTTCTTACTGACTAAACAACTTAACCAGTTAAAGCAGTTTTGTTGTGATTTAATGATTCTAGTCTAACATGGTTTGTTTACACTGTTTACAAGAAACACCAAACAGCTTCTTGTTTTGTGTCTACTGTTGCAAAAAATAAAAACTAATGCACTGCTGAAAGGTTCGGTCTTTATAAACTAATTTACACAACAAAGAGTCAAGACTAAACAAGTGTATTTATTTTATTTTTGGTGAAAACAATATCCTATCAAACTCAACATAAACCGGATTCACCTGGCTAGTCCAGTTAACGTCTTATTTGAACATTTAATAGGTTAGAATTAAGATCTGAAGTTCCAGTATTGAGCATAAACTCTATAACTGGAGTAAGAACAACTAGTTTGTGAAGTTCAATACCTCTTACAAGAAATAAGAGAAACACAGTTGATTTATTTTGGGTTTTTGCAGTGGAGTGGCAAAATTGTTTGGCCATCACACCAAGGTTTGAAATTAAACTGTGCATCAACCAATGCACACGCTATTTAACAGAAAAACAAGGGGAAAAAAACACTTGTTTCTTGCAATAGTTGTTTCTGCAACAGTTAAAAATATTCAATTAAAATATATTCAACAAATGGAGACATCTAGGTAGGAGAAGACTTCTTACCCGTTCATCAGTTGCAGCTTTGGCACCATCTTCCGCCGGACTCTCAGGCACAGGCATCCGGGCCACATAGAGACCGTTGAGAGCGGCCATCATCAGCGGTCTCTTCATGGAGTCCACTGACATCTTCTGTCGTTCCAGCGTCTTCAGGAGAGAGGAAAATCCTGGTGTCATTGCTGCAGGTACAAGACCGACCGACCTCGAAACACAGCGAGCATGCGCGCCTGTGTTTGTGTGTGCATGTGTCTGCGTGTCGAAGTGGGTGGGAGGAAAATGACGTGCGTTTATGTGTGTGTATGTGTGTTCCTCAAACCTGGCTGCACCAGTGTACATGCATGTTTATCCTAAGGTGTCCAAACAAAGCCTATTAAAATCAGCTTGCAGCTTTTTCGCCTTCTCACTTTGTTCTTATCGAGCTGCTTTCATCCTAATTTCGCCCTTCCTCAAATATTTTTCATTCCTTCGGTCCTTTGTTTAGTCCCACCTACCTCTTTGGCCTCCTTCTCTTCATAAAACACACACTTGTTCTGTGTTTTTTCTTCCCTAGCCAAACTCTGACCCACATTGCACAGTCCCTCCTTCCTCCACAGATTACCTCTCCTAATCTCTGATGCTATTAAACCTCCAGGACAGCTCCACCCTACAGCTCCAAACCTACTTAATACCCCGTCCGACAGTCAAAACAACAGCTTGGGGGAAGCCTCTAGGTATGAGATAAACCAGCTGGCATAAAGGAGGGATAGCAACTTTGGAGTTTTTGGTGGAAGTAACTCAAATGTCCTTTTCCTAATCAGCCACATCAGGTCATTTCTTCACAGCAGGTTTATCGCGACTAAATCAGGCGATTACATGATTTCACTTATACCTGGACTTGTGGTACTGTGTCAAATGTTTGTACCTTAACAGCGAGCCAACATACACATGAGCGCCCAACACAAGGGGTAATCTGAGGGATTTAAAGGGGTTTTAGCTGCCTAGGGGAATTCAGAGCCTAGTGCTACCCTCTCAGGTGCTGAACCCCAGATTATTGCAAATCAGGAGCTATGAATCGAGCTAGCAAACAACTGAATCACACATTTAAAACTATCACTTTAAAATTGTGACAAAACCATAGACTGTATATTCTATGGACAACTCGGTTCCGCTTTCTGCCAGTCTACGGATATGAAGCCAAAAAGCTCTCGGTATTTCCGGGATTTTCTCCACTTCCTGGAACCACCACTTGGGCAGTAGCATTGTACGCATTCGGCGGGAGAGTCGCCAAGAGTCACTGTGATGCTCGACTCAAACAGCGTATCCCACTGGTGAGCTACACAATCTTCGTACACCCATAGGCTGTATCAAGTGTCAATCACAGAAAACATGAAACCCCTAATAACTTTTAAAAATGGAGCTGCTAGTTAACACAATTAAAGTACCAGTACAATACTATCTTGTCTAAAAAAATTGAATTTCTATTATTTAAGGCAAGGCAAACCTTTTTTGAGTCAGGGGACAAAACAGGGAAGCTGCTTGCCAGGTTAATTAAAGAAAGAGAGCAGGTCTCCACTATTCCAGCGATCAGGGCGTTAAGTGGAGATACCTTAACATCAACTGGAGATATTAACAAGTGTTTTAAGGAATTTTATATGGGCCTTTACAGTTCTACTTCTACCTCAACAGAGGAAGAAATGCTTGCTTTTCTTGACCCATTAGAACTGCCTAAATTGTCTGAAAGGCAGAAACAAATTCTAGATGAAGATATTACGGTAGAAGAGATTATAGAAGTGATAAAAGCACTGCCTGCAGGAAAATCGCCTGGTCCCGATGGCTATACTGCAGAGTTTTTTAAGAGCTTTGCAGCGGAGTTAGCCCCACTGCTGCTAGATCTATATGCAGAATCACTGGAAAAAGGGATATTACCTCAAACTATGAGACAGGCACTCATTACCTTGGTTCCTAAAAAAGGGAGAGACCCCACAGAATGTAAAAATTTCAGACCAATCTCTTTGATCCAGTTGGATGTAAAAATTATATCAAAGATCTTAGCTAACCGTTTGAACAAAGTCATAACGTCTTTGATTCACCCTGACCAAGTTGGGTTTATTAATGGCCGCAGTTCTACAGATAATGTAAGGCGCTTTATTGATATAATGTGGGCTGTGTCAGATGAGCAATCCCCTGTGGCAGCCATTTCTTTAGACGCCGAAAAGGCTTTTGATATGGTTGAATGGGGCTATTTGTTAAAAATACTGGATATATATGGGTTTGGTAGTAAGTTTATCAAATGGATTCAGTTACTTTACAATCAACCAGAAGCTGCGGTTCAAACCAATGGACTCATATCAGACTATTTCACCCTAGGGAGAGGAACCAGACAAGGCTCACCCCTATCACCCTTGTTATTTTGCTTGGCATTAGAGCCTTTGGCAGCTGCTATAAGAAGGGCTACTGACTTTCCAGGAGTAAGGGCAGGGGGTGAAGTACATAAACTTCTGCTTTTTGCAGACGATATTTTATTATTTGTCTCTGAACCAGGTCGGTCAGTGCCTGCTCTTTTGAGAATAATTAATTCATTTTCAAAGTTTTCAGGATATAGGGTGAATTGGTCTAAATCAGAGGCGCTCCCTTTAACAGCTTACTGCCCACCCTCAGCCTTCCAACCAGGCGCATTTCAATGGCCCAGTCAGGGTATAAGATACTTGGGCATACTCTTTCCACCACAGCTAAAAGATCTAGTTAAGGTAAATTTCGATCCATTACTAAATAAAATTGATTGTGATACCAGTAGATGGGCAACACTAAAGTTATCAATGGTTGGTAAGGTTAATGTGGTTAAAATGAACTGTGTCCCTAAACTAAATTATTTAATTCATTCTATTCCTCTGGAGATTCCCATGACTTACTTTACATGGTTTGATAGGATAGTGAAAAAATTTGTTTGGAATGGTAAGAAGCCCCGCTTACATATTAAAAAACTACAAAGACCTGTTGATAGAGGGGGTTTAGGATTGCCTAATATGTTATTTTATTATTACGCCTTTAGTTTGAGACATCTAGCCCACTGGTCACTCCCACCAGAGAGGGCTCCACCCTGGTTCTCTATTGAACAAACTATTGCCCCTGTGCCACTACTCCAGTGTCTCTCAGTTAAGCTCTCAGGGGCAATCAAAAGTCATCCAATATTCTCCAACATGAAAGGGATATGGAGTAAAATTACCAGACTGTTTAATCTAGATCCTTTTCTAAATGTGTACTCTAGTATCTGGTTAAATCCCAAATTATGTATTAACAAATCCCCTGTGTGGTGGAAGGATTGGAGGGAGAAGGGTATTGCTACTCTGGGTGATTTATACTCCAACAACACTTTGAAATCATTTGATGAGTTAAGTCATCAATATGGGATCCCCAAGTCACATTTCTATAGGTACTTACAGCTACGCCACATGTTAATGAGCATTTTTGCTCATTCTGCTCCAAAGACAGCTGGACTACTTGAGGACATACTGAGATACTATAGGCAAGGATTCAAGGCCTCTATGTATTATTCTATGCTGAATCAGACAACTGGGGATGGAGGCTTGCTAGCACTTAAAAATACATGGGAGAGAGACCTTGGTTTGAGAATAGAAGAGGAGGAGTGGCTAAAGATCTGTAAGAACATAAAAACTATGTCTAGGGATGCAAGAGTGCGTTTGATGCAGTTCAAAATCCTGCACCGCTTTTACTGGACCCCCTCTAGACTGTTCAGACTAGGTCTGATTGAGAACTCAAACTGCTGGCGGTGCAAAGCTGCAGAGGGCTATCTATTACATACACTATGGTCCTGTGATAAAGTTCAGCAGTTCTGGTCATGGATTCACAGCTTTATTAGTGAGATAGCAGAGATTCCAATACAATTCTGCCCCAGACTTTTTGTTTTGGGAGATGACTCTGTCCTAACAGAGGGGAGTAAGCACATTAAAAGCTGGATCCAAACAAGCATTATGACAGGAAGACAGATATTACTCAGGGAATGGAAGACTGAGGGGGTGCCCTCAACACAGGAGTGGTCTGCTCAGTTGGCTAAAGTGGCAGCCTTGGAAAGGTTGTCATGGAAGTCATTTGGTAGACTTGAGGTTTATTATAAAAAATGGGGGAAATACCTATCTTTCTTGGAGGACAAAACATCAGATGTATGAGTAGAGAGATGCATTCTTTTATTTATTTATTTTTTAATTTATTTTTAATATCCTATTATTTTATTGTTTGTTCTTGTTTCATTTTATCTCATTGTGCATACCTAGCTACTGTGATATGAGAACTACATTTATGTACAGCCAAGAATCATTTGTAAAGTTGGGTGACTTTTTGTTTTGTTTTGTTTTGTTTTGTTTGTTTATGGGTGGGGGGTGGAGGGGGGGTTAAATGTGTTGTATGCCTACTATGAATGTATATGGTTTCCTGAGTGCCATATTAATACAATAAAAAAAAAAAAAAAATGTTAAAAATGGAGCTGCACAGAAAAAGGAGGACTTGAGCACAAACCAGTCTTACAGTAACTTCATGTCAACATCACAAACATGGGGGAGAAAAATTGATATTCTGCATGATAAATTTCTAAAGTTTGTCCACAGCTCCATAGAGATTGCTGGAGGAGGCGGGATTTATGACCTATACTGCAGCCCGTCAACAGAGGGTGCTGTTCTCGGAGTGGCTTCACCCAGCGAGGAGGCAGACGGCGTCTGTTCTATATACAGTCTGTCAGTGCCAAAGTACGCATCTCAAATCAGATAAGAAATATTAAGATAGCTAAACAGATTTTTAAGATTAAATTTACCATTTAGTTATAAAGAAAAAAAGCTGAGAAGTATGAATGATTACTGGTGTTGGATGACTATCAAAAAAACAGTCAGATTATTGTTCCTCCAGACTAAGCAGGAGGGCTGAACAAGCCCCCCCCCCCTCACACTGCCTCTTTCTAACATCTCTCCCCAGACTGTGTTTGTCAGTAGTACTTATAGGTTAAATGATTGTAGAAATACAGACTTTCAAAAACATCTGAAAGACTGTCTAGTGTCAAAGCACTTTGTAAACCTCTGTTTTTAAAAGTGCTATAAAAGTAAAATTATTATTGTTATCTTACCCTCTGAGCGATCTCTCTCTCCACGATGCTGTCCTCCAGCGAGAACATCTCAGACACTGGCCTCTCTTTCACCGGCTCCTTCCTCACTCTCTCCTTCACACTTGTCAGGTCTGGTTCTGAAATAGAAGGACCTAAAACTGCTCCATTTACCCCACCCTGGTCCCCTCGGGTCAGTGTCCCGCCAGCACCTGCGCCACCTCCCCCACTGCCAGGCCCACCACCTCCTGGGCTCTGTCCAGTTTTGAGTGCCCGCTCAAGGGCTTGGTTAGGGTCCATTTCACCCGGGTTGCTACTTTGCGGTCCTTGAGTGTGGTTGTGGTGGTGGCTGTGGTTGTGATTGTGGGCGCGAATTTGCGCGTTGCTAGGGGTTCTAGGTGGACCAGGGTACTCAGGAGGGGGTTTGTTAGGCAGCTTGGCCAAAGCAGCCTGGAGCTGAGCGCTGATGCTGATGTCCTCATTGAGACTCGGGATCTGAACGTCCAGCTCAGGCCTTTCTTCTTCCTCTTCCTCCTCTTCCTCACTTTCGCTGCTGTGTATGAGCATGGTGGCATTGGAGAGAGTCTTTTGATGCTGGTAGGCTACGGTTGCAGGTGGCGCAATAGGGGCTTCTGTAGCTTTCTGCTGAGGCATCTGCATGGGCAGCTCCTGTGGCTGCTGAGGGGGAGGTGGAGGTTGAGGCTGGGGTGGGGGCTGAGGAGTCTGGGGTTGAGGCTGAGGAATGGACTGAGGCTGAGGGGGCATAACATGTTCTCTGAGAGTGTTCCTCCGATGAAGCGGTGCATTCATCCCCTTCATCACTATGCCCTCCATCGCACCTCCTCCTCCTCCTCTCATACTGCTGATCACCTCCATGCTGTGTCTCTTCCCAAGGGTGGAGCGGTGCTTAGCGGCTGCAGTCAGGGGTTCACTCACCTCCTGCAGGGACTGGTGGACCACAGCTGAGCTGTCTGGCTGGAAGGTCTTTACAGACAGCTGCACCATGCGAGTCACCAGCTCTGGGCTGCTTCCCCCAATGCAGCGATGGCGGTGGCTGGCCAGGTCCGGGGTGCTTGTGGCTGGGCGGAAAGAGCTTGAAGGATACGGCGGAGGGGGGCGAGACATGTGGTTTCGCAGCATGTTAGCTGTGGCTGCGTAGCTCCCTGCGTTGGTCCCCTGCTGTTTGGTGTTAGCCAGCTCAGGTGTGCTGACGGTGTGAGAGATGGAGCTTCCTACTCCTCCTACCACTCCACTGCCTCCACCTCCATTGACACAGGGTGAGTGACAGGGGCCCTGGCTGCTGGCGGGTCCTCCTTGATGAGGGCCATGTGACACTGTCTTGCTGTAGCTGATCTGCAAGGATAACATTTGGGGGGGAAAAAAACAACAGGCGAGATAAGAAAAGAGCGAGAATTTTAAAAAGAATTAATCAAAGAAAGAGGCTTGACCTCTACCTGTGGTGTGTACGGCCCCGGGCTGGGCCCCAGGCCATGATAAGGGCCCCTCTCCCTCATCTCTGGCTGGCTATACACCAGAGCCTCAGGCTGGCGGTATGCACACGCATTACTGATGTTCAGGCTGCGAAGTGATTGGCTGTGCAGGTCATGGTGAGCAGGCATCATACGCCGCTTTTGCCTCATGACGGCATCGTACTCGGGTGTCGGACGATAGGACGGAGCGATAATGGCGCTGTGGCGGTGGCTGGGGATGTAGTCAGGCCGCATAAGCTCACTACCAGGGATGCTGAGATTGGAGGACATGGGAGAGGGAGGGACAAAAGTCTGAGAGTGATTGAGGGAGCTCAGGCTGGGGCTGCTGTACATGCTGCCGTTTGGCACCGTGCCGTTCCTGAAGGGGAAGTCGACTGGGCAACGGTCCAGACTGGTCTCTGACTTGTAGTAGGGATCGTCATGGAAGATACTGTCTAAAGATGGACAAGAAAAAAGGAAAAGTAAACAAGTGACAGTTATTTCTTGTATTGTGCATTTATCTATCTTGCTCTAACAGGAGGGAGGGTTATTGAAAGAGGATACTCAAGAATACCAAAAATGTAAAGAGAGATTATGATGATGTTCCCATAAGAACAGTAAGCATAATGAATGTTCTGAAGCTGGAAAAACAGAGAAAAAACGATGATGAAGAAATGTATTGAGTTAATTCAGGTAATGACATAGACTCTATGGAAAAGCAGCAAAGACTGACTAGATTTTAAGTGTGGTTCTACTGCACTACCGTCCACTAGGGGAAAGAAATCTGACAATTACCTGCCAACTTCTATGTCGTTAACTCGGCATAGTCAAATAAGATACTTAACCACAAGTTTAAGTGGTAGGTTACAGAGAAAACTAATAACATCAAACAAGTCTCAAATGTGAAAACATTTTCAACATGTGTTGAAAACTCTTACTGCACAGAGTGAACAGCAGCAGATCTACTGTCGGATGTCAGGCATACCTGATTGCGCTCCTCTAAACCCCAATCTTGAAGGAAAGCCGTAATTCAGTAATGAGCTGCTCCGAATAGGGATGCACCGATCCAATATTTAGATCGGATATTGGCTCCGATATTGAAAAATTAACCGGATCGGATATTTGATGAATGACGCTGATGCAGCGTTCCAGTCCAGTCTTTTTTTCTTTTAATTAATATCATACACAGCAACACAGCAATTCTGTTCCCTCTATATTCTATGTCTGTCTATCCTTTTGCACTAAATGTTTACATGGAAGTCTTACTTCTTTTTGCTGTGTGCTAATGTGGAATTTGTTGTTTGTTAAAAAATATTAAGTAAATTTACATCTGCGTTTATTTGTTACCTTTTTTTTAACAAGGCTAATGTCAAGCCTGATGCCTTCACTCACAGGTCAAGCTAAACAGTTAATTCATTCAACAGTAGTATTGGATTGGTATCAGATATCATCCGATATGCTCAGCCCAAGTATGGGTATCAGATTGGATTGGAAAAAATTGATCGGTGCATCTCTAGCTCAGAAACGTCTTCTTCATCACCTTCGGCCATGTTTGTTTGTTATTCTGCTCTGTGTGGGCTATGGCTGCGAGTCCGTCATCAACTTGCACTTATTGTATTTATCGTGAGATGGCAAATATTTATCATGGAGGATTTTTCCGACATTATATCGTGAATGATAATTTATCACCCTTCCCTACCGCCAACAACATCTTAAAGCAGCACAGCCTCTGGATATTTTCTTCCCACCTTAATAAAAGAAACAGCAGTATGAATACATTTCTGTTCTGTTCAGCAAACAGAGGATTCTCTCGTGTGAAACTATCTCAAGCTCACAAGCAGCAAACGCTCATAATCTCCATCCACACAATCGGAGTGTGAAGCCTGAGGTCACACGACAGAATGATCTCACACCCACGCAAGGCAGCACACCCTGAATATTTTTCCACTCACTCTGTTTTACTGTGAGTGAAGCTTTTGGGTTTTAAGGCAGACCGAGTGTGTGAACGAGTCAATGAAAGAGTGGAGCACAAATGAGGTCACCGCTCTGCACCCCAAATGCTGAGCTCTAATTGGCAGAGTGATCGTTAAAACACAAATGGTTGTGAGTCACACGGCTGATGGGAAAGACACAATTAGCTCTATTCAAGTGCTTCAGTGTTTATCAGGAAGGCTGAAATCTTCTGTCACGCTGCAGTCAATGCGGTGAGCTGGCAGTTGAAACTCACTTTAAATGTGTGTGTAAAAGTGTGTGTTTTGCTTTTCAACACATACCTTGAGAGCTTTGTGTGTCCTGGTAATGCTCTCCATACTGGGAATGCATTGACTGGAAGTTACAGGACTGTGGCCGTGGCTGTAACACAAGTAGAACAACACAGTTAAGCGGACGCATTAAAGTGTCTTTCTTCTATTAATCAAACCATATTGTCACTTTTATGCCACTTCTTCACGTTTTTCACACTTTAATTTTCACAACAAGACCTTTCTCTTTCTGTTTGACACAACGAGTGACTCTGACCTACAAAGATCGACTCCACATCCACTCAGTTGTCAACTGTCGATTCCTGTGGTTCTCCACACTGACATCTGAGTGAATTTCGAGCATTCTGGAGGAGCGACTGTACAGCTATTGTGCCACATTTAGCCTCGCCATTGTCTGGCCAGCAGGGAGGCAGACGCACAAATCACTGCCTTCATTGTCGCACCGGAAATCAGTTCCAAGCAACACCCCTGCAAACTTTCCAACAACACCCACTGCACCACCATTAAAACCAAAGGCTCCATGGCACAATTAAAAGCTGGCCTGTGTGGGAGAGCAAGGTCACATCTCTAACCACGAGCGTTTCTGCCTTCACTCACATATTCTCCATCTGTGTTCTGGCTTCATTTATACAGACCAGAGGCAGTAATAAACAGGACAGTGTGAAACCACGGAGTGATAAACAGTCTCACTGAACGACATCAAAGCAAGGAAAGGCTTCAGTACCAGAGAGAGGCGGTGTGTCCAGGTGGGTCTCCTCCTGATTGGTGCAGGTGAATGAGTGGGTCTAAAGAAACCAGAAGAGTAAACATCAGCTGTGTACCAAAACTAAAAGATTTATGTTGAAAAGTTTCACATGCTGTCGTTTTGTTTTTTTTTACACAACCTTCAAAAGGTCAAAAGGTTGTTACACTCGATTTTGAAGATTAAATGAAAGATAGCAGAACCTTCATTCAGCTGGCCTTCATACTCACTCTGCACAGATTTTGTTCTGTTTATAGAACTTGTGCCTGGCCGTGAAAAGCCGAGAGATGTACTTGGCCATTTCCATATCCTCCTACCAAAACAAAAAAACAGGGATACAACATTAAACATTTTTAAACACACAGCTGCTGTATTAACTGAAAATCAAGACCAGTTTTGCACCTGCATTTGTCTCTTTGCAGAGGAACATTCTGCTATTCTTGTTTTGTTTTGTTTTTTTTTGGAAACTTCCCACAAGAAAACCTTGTAACAAGCGTGAGTGTGTGTGTGTGTGTGTAACTGTATGTGCTTGCACCAGGAGACACAACACTCACTGTGTGAAAAATGATGGTGTCGTCTCGGCTTGTTATCTCCACTGTGATGGCTGATTTGTTGTGCGCTATGGTGCCAATGTCCTTCCACCTTTCATAAACATGGAAAAGCAGAAAAATGCAAAGATAAACATTTTCCCCACGTCTAATTTTTTGTAATAATAATAACAGATTTTTTCTATATTTGTATGACATCTACTGAACATATGGGTTTACACAACAAAAACAGACAAGCAGGTTTGGGACTCACTTGTGGAGCATGATGGATCTGCCGTTTCTGTGTTTGACAAATACCCCAATGAATGAGACACCGATGAAAATATCGTTGGTGTAGTTGTCCTGCAGCAGAAATATGGATTTCATGAGAGAAGTCATGACAATCAAACAAAAAATATGCTTCTTGTTAGAGGCTGAATGTGCTTGTGTGGGAGGCTCCACTACCTTTGCAGGAAAACTCTCCTGGCCAAATCCGTCCAGTTTCTCCACCTCCTTGATGTACAGCAGCTCTGCTTCAGCAGCCTGCATTCGACTGAAGAGAACACACACAAACAGTTCCAGGTAAAAAGAATCTCCTTTTCTCTCCCTCTTTATTTCTGTCTTTCTCTTTCTTTCTTCCCTGCTTCCTTCCTCCATGTCATTCTTTCTTTCTTTTTTCTTTCTTACTCTCTTTCTGTCTTTTCATCCTTCCTTCCTGTGTTTCTTTCTTTCTTTCTTTCTTTCTCTTTTTTCTTCCTTCCTTCCTTACATTCTTCCCTCCCTTCTTCCTTCCTTCCTGTCTTTCTTTCATTCTTCCTTCCCTTCTTCCTGTCTTTCTTTCTTTCTTTCTTCCTTCCTTCCTTTTTTCTTTCTTACTTTCTTTCCTTTCTTTCTGTCTTTTTCTTCTTTCCTTCCTTCCTCCCTTCCTTCCTTCTTATCTTTCTTTTTTCTTTCTTTCTTCCTGTCTTTCTCCCTTCCTCTTTCTTCCTATCTTTCTTTCTTTCTTTCTCTTTCCTTCTTTCTTTCTCTTTTTTCTTCCTTCCTTCCTTCCTTCCTTACATTCTTCCCTCCCTTCTTCCTTCCTTCCTGTCTTTCTTTCATTCTTCCTTCCTTCCCTTCTTCCTGTCTTTCTTCCTTCCTTTCTTTCCTTTCTTTCTGTCTTTTTCTTCTTTCCTTCCTTCCTTCCTTCCTTCCTTCCTTCCTTCTAATCTTTCTTTCTTTTCTTCCTGTCTTTCATTCATCTTGTCTTTCTTCCTCCTTTCTCCCTGTCTTTTTTTCTTTCTTTCATTCTTCCTTCCTGTCTTTTCTTCCTTCCTTCCTTCTTGTCTTTCTTTTTTCTTTCTTTCTTCCTGTCTTTCTCTCTTCCTCTTTCTTCCTATCTTTCTTTCTTTTTTCTTTCTTTCTTTTCATTCTTTCTTTCTTTCATTCTTTCTTTCTGCCTTTCTTATGTTCATGCATCAACAGTCAGTATAAAAGTAAATCCATCTGTACCAGTGACTTTTGTGCTCTTCAGCAACTTTCTGAGTCCACTCTTCGAGCACTTCATCCCCATTTGGCCAGTTCTAATGAAAAAGAAGAAAACACAAACTTACCAATCAAGATGATAACAAAAAGAAAAAGTGAATTGTAAAGACTAAGTGGGTGATGATATGAGCAAATCAAAATATCTCTTTCATCAAATGTTTGTAGCTTCATTCTTGGCTCAGGTTTACCCACAAACAGTATGAAGGTTAAAATCATAAAGTGAAAGAGTGATTTGTTTGCCTAAAACATCTGGTATCTAACAGATCTTATCACCGCTAGTGTTGACTCCTGCTCACCATGCCGTCTTTTGAGCATGTCAATCAGGTATGTATGGGGCGGTACCAGAGGTGACACAAGAATGTGTGGCCTGAGGCGCACAAAGAAACAGAGAAACATTCACTCAAACGGTGAAAGTTTGAGTACTCACCACTGGGAAGAGCACGTACTCCCTGAGGAAGTCCTGAGACATGAACTGAGTGAAGTCTCCAAAGTCAGCTGTATAGAAAATAAAAAAATATATATATCATTTGGGGGGTTTAAAATGACGTAAGCCCACATTGATTTGTACCAATATTACACATTTACATCGCATTTCTAACATTTTTGAAGTTTTCAGTGTTTTGAGTGTTTTAACACTCAATTCTACAGCTACAGATAACGATCCCAGATAAACATTTATTTTCTTGTCCTTTATCTGGAACATTTGTTCTACATAATTCATTAGAAAATGTTAAAAGTTAAGCTATTATGTTAAAAAGACAGTAACACATCTAGTTTCCAAATAAACAGATACAGATGTAAATGTAATTGTTTGAAGTTTTTGCGTTTGTTTCACTTACGTGTAAATATCAAAAATTCAGCTTTCTCCACGAATAACTTAACAAATTGGCATAAAATTACCATATGACTACAGCCTCTGTACACGAGGAGCTTAAACTAACTTTGAGTTACTCCATGTACGTCACCTTGAATCTTCCTCCTTGTAGCAAGAAACTGAGCAAATAACTTAATTCAGAGGTGAAAATACTAAATGTTAACACTTTATCAGTTACTTCCCATCTAAGAAATATTCTTGAGTGTGTTTGACAAAAAGGAAGTTAGAAAAGGATCCTCGTCTCCCAAAAGATAAGGGTTTTCCTGAGTCTAACCTTGGAACCACCGATAAGCTAACTGTCTGTTTACATTCCCCCTGAGACACAGACAGCAACCAGGAACAAGACCGAGGAGATGGAGTCAGGGTGTGTGTGTGTGTGTGTGTGTGTGTGTGTGTGTGTGTGTGTGTGTGTGTGTGTGTGTGTGTGTGTGTGTGTGTGTGTGTGTGGATAAATACTGATACCATAGGAACTCAAGTGGACTGGGCTCTGCCAGTGGTATGCAGCCATATTAGGTAGTGAAGTCAAGATGACCCTAGAAAGTGTGAGTTTGTGCTCACCCTTTCTCTCTTGTGCTGCCTGTCTTCCTTTGGTAGATTATTCACATGAGATGTTTGTTCATGCACGTGCATGTGTGTGTGTGTGTGGGTGAGCTTGTCTTACCTTGTACTGCTAGGCCAGCTAGTCTGATCCCCTGCTCGACTGTACAGTGGAGACGTCCATCCAACACCTCCTTCTTTACCTGCAGGTAATACTGATACCTGAGAAAATGAAGGGAAAGAAAAGGAAGGAGATTACTCTAACAATTATAAAAAATATGGAAAACTTTTGAGCTTTAGAACTGATTTACTTTTACATTTAAAAAATGTATGTGTGTGTATACTTGTATAGCCACATCTGCAGCTAGCTTAAAACGTGCTACTGTCAGTTCACCTCTTCAAACTTACAGAGTACAGCTCATGTAGGCTTGTACCCTTGCTTTAGCTGGATTCCCTAAAACCTGCCAAAGTATTTTCTGGCTAGCCACACTGTCTCTGAATACCAATTACATGAAAGCAAGTCGGAAAACACAAGTTCCAGTTTGACACGTTTATTCAAAGAGGGGTAGCCCGAGAAGAGCTGAGCTCATGGTATTGCACATTAGCAACAGAAAGATCACAAACGTACTGTACTGTTGCTTTCTGGTTTGTGCAACAGAAAGTATGCGTCAGAACAGCATTAGCTGGTTAAAACATACTAGAGAGGTCTGTCGCAGCATCCCAGTGAGGAATGAGTGAGTCACCTCTATCTGGAATACCACTGACTCATTAAGAGGAATCCCTAACCAGCACTGACCACGGTTTATTATTTCTGATAGTTCAGCTAACATGGAGCTAACGCTAAAAGAGCTAATGCTGTTTCGTGTTTGGTACACCCACCATAAGTTAGGTAAAAGCAGAGCTTTGTAACCACTGTGTGAATGTGAGGCAAACTCAGCACACTGTGGCTTTGGGCTGTGCTGGTTTTGCCAAATGTAAGTTGATATGATGACACAGTTGAGATTGTTTAGCCCGCTTGTAGCTTTCACAAAATGTGGTAAAAGTCCCCTAACGAAGAGGCTGAAATACACTGAGCTCTTTAGCGTTTTCAGGCTACTTTTGTCCACTTTTAGCTGTGGTCCAACTGGATGTTTGTCTTTGAGTGGCCACACAGGAGGAAAGAGAGGAACTGTCAGGGTGACCGGGCTCAGCTGCACAAAACCTCACACACCGTTTCCTGTTTGTTGCCATGGTGACTGCAGACTGAGTCTTTCCAATGTGGGGTTTGTGAGACACCTTTTCTGACTTGCACATACACTAACACACAGTCAGAGAGAGCTCAGAGAGGATGCCAAAGGGCACAAAGGTCTATGGGAAACCACTGAGCTATACATGCTTAGTCACTCAGTTTTTTCTCACACTCACCACAAAAATGTTGCTACGGTTCCTCAATTGTCTCCTATTTTTCTTCTCTGCCCTAAAAGCAGCCTTTCTTTATCTCCTCACATATTTCATGCTCATACCCTTCCTCAAACTCTCCCCTCACTTCTTCTTCTTCTCTTTTTTGAGCTCCACTCTGCACACTCAAGGGCCTATAATCTGACCCCGCCCTCCTCCCTCACCCTATCATTACACCCGTTGGCTAAGCTGCCATTCCGTTCCCGTGGCAACCCTCTAATTAGCCAACCCCAACCGCCAGGGCTGCAGTGAGGGGGAGGAGCTAGATGCGGTCTGGATGGGAGGAGTTTCGTGGGACACACAAAACCCTTCAAATGATTGTGGACTTTGTTTTTACAACCTCTCCGTGTTTTCCCAGCACTCTCTGTACGGGGTCTGGAGAAATGTTGAGGTTGACGGTGGTTGGTGCTCTTTCTGAGGTTCAATAGTAACTACATGATGATGTTTGTAGATATATGAGGCCAGTGAAGGAGAGGTGGTTAACTATAGAAATAACTCCGAACAAGTGAAAAGAAGTAAAGTCTGTTTCATTCATATCTGTCTCATCAATCTCACTCTCTCTCTCTCTCAAATAAAAACTGGAAGATGAAGCCTCTCCACTTTCCACTGGCTGCCACAATCAGCTGATAGATATCTAACTACATTCCAAGTAGCACTGTTGAAGGATTCAACAAGTTGCTACAAAAATGATGAATGAAGTATACAAGTCCATTCATCAGTGTTAGCTAATGTAAGCAAAAGAAGCCTTCAGTAATTCATGAGGCCAAAAACAACCAAGTTTCCTGAAAACTGTTGGAAGATGTCCCAGCTCCATATGAAGTCTACATTGGATATTCCTTGATTATTTCTTAAGAGGAATAAAACTTATTGAAAGTTTATGTCTAACAAGAATTTATACTGTTCTTGTTGAAAGACATCTACATACATAAGTAAACAACCGACCACAAAGGATATCTAATGTAGACTTTTATAAACATGTCCACAAAGAAGTCGTTGTGGTTTCACCCACCTGGCATGTATGTTAACATGGCATCACCATGCTTTAGTAACAGGTGAACATACAGACACAGACATGAGGTAGAGGTTTCTTCACAGAGTGACTTGTGACTTCCAGCATGACGGGGTGAGAGCTCTGCTGGCACTCCAGGCAGCCACACAGACACAAAGAGGCCTTTTATATGCCCACGCATGTTCAAACCCCGCTTGAGACGTGCTGCCAGATGTCCAAGTGGCCAGGACAGCCAGTCTGCAAGCATATGTATAGCATGCATGCATGACAGTGTGCGCCTGTGTGCGCATGCATGTGCTTACATATGCTTCAGCCCCTCCACCTCTGCAGTGGTATGACCCTGATCGGCCCCTGCAACCCTGGATGGGTCCAGACAGCTTGTGTGGGAGGCCAAGGATTTCACTTTGAAATGTGTCGAATCAGCCATATTGGTATACTGGTACAAACCAGTATAAGTGTGTGTGTATGTGTGTGCATGTGTGTGTTAGGGATAACCAGCCGAACAAAGCTAGGATTTCAAGGCTGCTGGTGTTGTTGGCCTTTGGGGGTGACAGAGGCCAGCTGCTCTCACTCCGGTCAACAGCTCTCTGTTTAGGTTTTTCACTCGCTCTCTCTGGGCCACTTTGTCCCCTCATTTATATCAGGGGAGGGGCGGGAGGCAGAGGACCAGACCACACAAATCCTCTGCAGGACGTATCATAACAAATGGATATAATAACGACAATACCTGCAACAATGATAAGATAACTTCATTTGTATAACTTCATCACCAAATATTTACAAGTACTTTAACAGACCAAGCAAAGCAGGAACTCAGGAGTCTGACTGAGTAAACTTTTGACAGTCGACAGGAAGAAGTCAAAAAGTTCAACAATGATTGAACAAAAAGAGGTCAATAGGAATATGTGCAAATAAACTGAATAAAAATTATGAAATAAATGGATCTTAAGTGGCAGTAGACCTATACATTTTTCTGAACGTCATCGCAAAGAGATAAGAAAAGGACCTAAGAGTTAAGAGACAATAAAATCATCTGTAGGTCTGAACCTTGACTTTGAAATGACCAGAAGGGCCCCATTAGAGGACTGATGGTTATATGATGGCTCACACAGTCTAAAAATTTTAACTTCTTGAAACTCAGAACAAGTCCCAGATGAGCTTAAAGGAATATTCTGGCGTAAAGTTAAGTTAGGGTCAAACTCACCGTAACACCGAGTTAGACACCCCCTCAAGAGTTGAATATTGCTGACTGCTTGCATCTCTAGTTATACCAACTTCAGTATCGACCGCACATTAGCAATACACAGCAGTCTACGTCTCCGTGTGCAAACCTCAACCAAAAAGCCACTCTATAGCCACAAATAATGCTCAGAACAGCACCTAACTTCATCAACAGTACATATGGGGTCCCAGCCATAGTACTTGCCATCAAAAAACTTTTTAGCTTTGCCCAATTTCTTTAGCAAAGAGACCAAACAAAACTCACCAACTCTCCTCCAGCAGCTGCTTGTTTGTGGGGGGAGCCCTGACGAGTCGATCACAGAGTGCAGCAAAAAATTGTATGATTATTCCTTCATGGAAATGCAATCAGACTGAGATGCTAAGGCAGAAGAACTACTGCATCTGCAGTGCACATAAAAGATATACAAGAACTCTGAGTGAGTTTCCATGAAGTAATAATCATAAATGTTCTTCCTTGAGCTGCGAAACTCCGCTGCACTCGGTAATCGCCTTTAAAGAAATAAATTAAATCTTACAATCAGGTTTAACAGGAGGCTAGTGTAGGGATATGAGTGAGGTGATGTCATCCACACAAAGCTGTCAATTTTAGACAGAGGAATGTACTTCAGGAAATTCAATCACTGAAATACTGAGTTGTAAAACGAGTAGTATGGTACTAGTAGATGATGACAGATGACTTGAAATGATAAACCTTCATGTGTGCACACAAATCGCAGACAATCTGTCTCCACACATGTAAAAAAACATTTCTTACAAATGTAAGCAGGGCATAACTCTGATTTATGTTTACATTCACTATTCTGGCTAAACAATGCACAGTTCAGGTTCTGCCACAATCACAGCTCATCCTTGAACTTTACACCCGAGATCCATTGTAATACCAATCCTCAAGAAATATTTTGCTTGCCAGAAAAAGAAAAAAAAAACATCCCCATTCAATCACAGGATGCATAAAGAGCAGGAATGTCACATGGTATTTTGGAAGCCAGCATGCTCTTGAGGTTAGTCTGGCTGACTACTCTCTCCACATTGGAAGATACATCAGATGAGCAAAGCATCTCACCTTGTCTGCTTTCTTTAATCTGAAAGTGTAATCGTTCCAAGAGTATTTTTAAAAAATGAGACTACGCTCTACTGACTGAAACCCGTGTATGAATAAGAAGCTCAAAGTTCAACACACAAAATTAAGACAAAGAAAGAAGTGGGTCATTTCTTAACTGTTTCAATACTGTAGGTGTAAAACAGCAGCAAAAGTAAACAGTAGCACAGGTATCACAATTATCACGATACTTGAGCCACGATACGATATTATTGCAGTTTTTAACATTCTGCAATACAGCGAGTATGGTGGTACAATATATTGCGTTTTATACAATTTTTTCAACTGTTACTCAAACTAAGCATTTGTATGTCCTTTATGTTTGTCTTATTAATGCTGTATTTTATTTTCATGTAGCACATCTTGCAAACCTTACATATATTTGTTGTACTAACTTTCTCCTGCTCTATGATGTCACCTCTGCCAACTTCACTGGACAAACAGTTGATTTTATTTTTCCATTATCATCGATTTGACTTCATATTAACAATTAATTTGAAAAATCAATACTTGGTAAATAAGATGATACGATATATCACCAAACAAAATATCGCCATACTATGCAGTACTGATTTTTTCTCCCACCCCTGAGGATGATGTGTTGCTATTTACATCACAATCATCCACAGGATATATGTCTTAATGCCTCGAAACTGTTGCGTAAAAATTCATAGTCAGAAAAAATGTGCTGAGAAGACAAAAAAAAACCTCAGGGCGTAGATATCTTTGACTAACGCTGTCAGAAACTGTGACTGAGCACAAAAGGAGAACTTCAGCTTTTACACAGGCTCTGACTCTCCTGCATTACTGCTTTAATTGCTTTATAATTGGATTATTGATGAAAGTATGTAGCCTGTATGCACACACTCTTACACACTTATACACACAGTGAAGGCCCCCCGCTCTGGATGATTTTCACAGCTGCATGAAAGGAGCAAAGGAGAAAACAGATGAATGGACGGACAGGAAGAGTGGGAGATCGAGTATCAGGTTACTCATCAGTGAGAACTTCAAAGACATCACATGGCTCTGACTCGGGGGAGATCAAGTATTTACGGTTTTTGGAGACGAGTTATTATGAACTTTTAATTTGATCTTCTTTACATTAAGTTATCAGCTATTCTTAATGGTACATTTAATCATTTTTACATCCTAGTTTGATGACAAGTTTGACTACACAGGCATACACTTCAAAGCAAGTCATAAAGTAGGATGCACTAACTCATTTACATAAAGTGACTTGACATGTAAACTTACTCCTACTCTTTAAGACTTGTTACACTTTCTACCAAAAACATGAGCAGACAGTGAGCTTAAACCACAGATTTGATAAATCCAAAGCCTAAAGCGTTCTCTGTCTTTAGAAACATTTTACAGCTCTTCCTTGCTTCTTTATCATTCCTTCTTTGTGTTTCTATACACTTCTTGAGGCCAGGTGTGGAGAAAGACGAGATCTGCCTCACTAAAAATGACCCCAAACAACCCCGAGTCAATAATTCATCTATAGGTTCAAAAGAGGGCTGATTGATGGGGTTCTCAGAGGTAAAGAACAAAATATGCTTTTAAGGTGTTTTTTTTCCTTTGATAGGCTGATTCAGAAAAAAAGGCGTTTAGGGCTTTATCATAAAAGTAGAGAGGATTGTTTTCAACTTGATCTGTAGAAAAAAAAAAAAGGGGACGGGGCTTTGAGAACAGCTCGCCTGAGGGCGCGTGTACGTTCTTACAATGTGCTGTATTGTGACTAACTCCTCTGACAGGGCTGCAGCTGGCTTCTGAGAGGATTCCTGGGGGGAGTGTGAGAGGTGTGTGAGGTGAGAGTGTGTGCCTGTTTTGTAAACCAGACATCCCTCCCTCCCAACCCCCAGCCTCCCCTTTACCCCCAGCACTTCTGCTTGGAGGAATGTGTGGTCCGCCTCCTACGCTGGACGGCTGTGCCAACATTCCTGACTAAAAGAGAAGGAGAAAGAGGGAGAAAAAAGGAGGGCAGAGGGACCAAGAGAGGGAGATTAAAAATGTGGGACCGTATTGATGTGGAGATCTGCACTTGATAAAAAAGAGTCGGGGTGGCACTATGTACAGGGGAGTGTTAAAAAAAGAGAAGGGGTTTGAGAAAAAGAGGCGACTATTGTTCTCTAAATTGCCCCTAAGGCCCCATCATAACCCCTTCAACCCCATAACCCTGACACACACACACAAACACATGGACACACACACACACACACACACTCACAAAAGGGGGTATACCACGAAACAAGCTCAACATACCCAGGCTGTCTTTAAGAAAGCTGCCTCAACTGAGTCTAAAACTAAAAACTCCAGGAAGAGATATCAGGCACCACAAAGGTGGTCATGAACTTCCCCTGATAACTCTGAATTTCTGCTTCAGGCTCAGTGTGGGCCGAGGAGAAGACATTCATCGAGACATGTAAGTGTTCTTGAGTATAATGGGAAGCCATCGGCATCAGTCTCCCAGTCAAACTGATTTACTAAGAAGTGAAGATGATGGATCAAGCTTACAAACTCGATCTAACATACTCCTCAAATGCATTGCCTTCATCATCCTTTTACTGTGAACTCTCTTCTTTTATTTACTTGTGATCTGCCTGGATTTAAAGAATAAATTCATCATGAAATTCTGAAGCCACCATGTAAAACTAAGAGGGAGGAGACTGATGGGGGGCAGAGTAAAAATGACTGATGGGATTCTATTAAAGTAGTCTCAATGCAAATGCATCTGCAGGCATTGGTTAAAGACCCACTCTGATCAAAATCATGCTTTTCTAGTTGTCTACAGGTTCAAATGGCATGTGATTGTGAAATTGCATTCTGAGTATTTCTTCATTAATATCACTGTGAATCTCTCACAGACCAAACAGAAGGTTTAGAAACAGTGAGATTTCCTACATCACAACTCCAAGCTCCGCCCCTGGAGCCCCGCTCTGCAGGCCAGACTCTAAGAAGAAGAGAGGACGATCAAGCGTCTGTGTTAGCGGATTGGAATGCTCGTAAGAAAGCTAATTATGATATTAACTTTCATCATGTCCCCAAAAGTTATTAGTTTTAGAGAGCTGAATAGTTCCTATGTTACCTGCCACTTCTACTACACCGGCAATGTTAGGCTGCAAGTTAACGTAAAGAGGAGTGTGCAGAGTAGCGCTGTCTCCGCCCACGACTTACAGGTTAATTGCTAATGATCTACTGGAGCTCTGCAGAAGAAAAGTCCTTGAAAATGACTCAGGTAACGTGATTTTTGCTAAAAACTTCATAATCACAATTTAAAGACCACTGATAATACTTTAAGTAGAAAAAAAAATCAATCAGAGTGGGACCTTAATGAAATAACGACACTTTACATCTGATTTCACAGATGTGTGTCCTTACTACTGCAAGGAAAATTGTGTCCTCAGACATGGGCAGGTGACAGTGAGGTACAGTACTATTTTAAATTTGTTTGGCCACAATAATCATGAGGTCAAAGTCTGATATTGTGACAGCCCTAATCCACACACACACACACACACACACACACCTCTGAACTAACTCTACCATGGAAACATCAGGCTGTGACCTGCAGTCGACCTTTCCCACATCCAGCTGGGCAGAAGCCGCAGATTCAGCGGCTCAGTGCGAGGCAAACCTGCAGTGTCTGTGTGTGTACGTGTGAGTGGAGGAATCTGAAGCAGTAGACTGTCCAATACACACTGACCCCTGGATGCCCTCTTCACAGCTCGCTAAAGTGCTCAATCACACTCTCTCACATTCAGACACAGGCTGGTTTGAGGAGGAGGAAGAAAACACCTCAACTCGATCAACATCATGAGGCAGAAAAGAAAACGTAATTCTTAGCCATCAGTCTTCTGTCTGTATTTCTAAAGGATGTAGCAAGTTCGTAGAGTAGTGAGATGACAGACCTGACCAACAAATCAGAGGTGAGGTGGTAAATTTTCTGTGTTCACACGAGTTCACCTGACCTTGCAGAAATTTTGCCAGGGAGCTGGCAGGAAAAATCTGGGTTAGGGTGATGAATACGAAACTGTTTGCATTCACACAGCCCACCCTGAAAATTTCAACACGTTTTGGCATGTGTGAATAAAGCTACTACACTTCTGTCCTTAAACAGTATTAGTACGACTCTATCACCAAAGCCTTCTCTGTTTAAATAAGTATAATTCTACTGTTTACATATGCAATTATTATGCAATTTTTAAATGGTTTCCCCCCTTTGTTTTTCTTGTCTAGATAGTACGCAGACGACACTGGATTGTATTTTATGAAGTGAGCTGCAAAGTTTTCAACACTGTGGACACCTAAGAGTTATTTTGATTGATTTCTTCTCAATCTTTTTCCAGCTGGGACACACAACTGGAACTGAGAGCAACATTTGCAGGTGTTTTCATTCCAGTTTTTAAAACAACCAATTCTCAATTAACTTGCTCTTCTCACTCACAGCAGCTTTACTAAGAGATATTTTAGTGTGAACTAAAGGAAATACAGATGAGTGAAGAAGTAAAACCATTGTGGCTTTTGTAACTGAGTGTAAAGTGAAAAACCTGATGCATTTTAGGTGTATAAACATATGAGGGAAGAGAGAAGGCTTCAGGTGATGTACTTACCTGGTGGCTTCTTGCTCCAGCCGAGAAACACTGGGCACGTAGAACATGACTCCAAAGAAGAGCAGTGGTTCATTGCCAAACTTGTCCAGCTGCTTCTTGAGGGGCTTCTCCAGCTCCACCCAGCGCTGGGCCGGGGTCTGAGTCTTTCCTTGGAACCACAGCCCAAAGTAATGGGTCTGAAAACAAGACAGAGATGCACAGAGAGTGAGAGACAGGTACAGAAGTTATAGACAGAAAAAAGTTGGGGAGGTTTAGGAAGAAGCAAATAAAAATTAAGTTGTGCAAGCTTGAAGAAGGATGATGAGGAGAAAGCAATGGGAAACTACCAGAGGGATAGAATGGGGAGAGTTTAGTTGAGCAGAAAGGAGATAAGATCCAGCAGAATTATGACAAGCACATATTTCTGCTCAAATCTGCTCAAATCTTCAATGTCAGCAGAATGACTTCATCGGCTTAAATGTTCTACCATATCCAACATATTCCAAGAAGAAACAGGCAATGATCCGATCTCTGTGAACTAAATGAAACTACGTCTGCTGTTGGTTTTTCTGTCTACAGATGACTGACACAAATAAACTCAATGATCAACAAAAACACGAGACAAGAGATAAAATCAACCAATGTTCTGGTCAACAAGCTCCCTTAAAAGTTAGCCTTTTTTACAGATGCATCCTTTACTGATATTAACATTGACTTAAAAAGCCTATCAGCCAACAATTGGCTAATCCATTGGGCCAAGCTACTACATTTAGTTCTACACTAGTCTTTTTATACAGCAACTTTATGGGCGTACTATGTCACAGCTTGGCAGATTGAATGTATTTCTCTCTAGTTGCACCAACAACAATAAAGAAACAAGTTCATCAAAACAAGAAAGCAGATAAAAGAAATTTCATTACTTCATTCATTTTAGAAATGTGAGAAACTTACAACAATGGAGGGATAGTGTCAGGAGAGGTTCTCAAATTCATTATTCTTCTAAATAAAAGATTGAGAGGTATATCAAGAAAGCAAACGTAAAGGAGAAAGCCTCATGTTGTCTTATTGGGAAAATTTCGGGGATCTGATCAGAACTTAAAAAGTCATGCAATTCTAGCTATTTTAAAAAGTTATACTGCTTTTTGTCAAGCTAATTTTGTCACTTTGATGCATTAAAATCATACTCACTATCATTTTAGTATATAAAATCTGTCACTGATGAGCAAAGGTGCAATTTGGGAAAGGCAGTTCTCATTAGTAGGGATAGGCGATAAATTATCGTTCACGACATATCGTCAGAAAAATCCTCCATTTGTTAGATAGATTGGAATTATAATATTTTTATAGGGACTTTTATCGTTATTGCCAGAATGGCAGATCTTATTGTGATAAATCTTTTAGCCCATATATCCCATCCCTACTCATTAGTGAAACATTTAAGTATGATTCAATGTTTTGTTGGCTGCAGTACTCACAAAATGACTTTTGGAGAATTGACTTTTAGAGAATTTCCCAGTTTGGGATCAATAAAGTATATCTATCTATCTATATCTATCTATCTTGTCAACAGAATGAAAATCTACAGTTTGTCAAACATTGTAAGTACAATATAAGTCCCTATACTAATGAAGGTTTACCTCAAAACTCTGTACACACAACACATGATGTTTTATTTCATGTGTGTTCACGCGTGTATGCGAATCGTAACACAAAAGATGTGAGCACACCTGTTTCATCCCACGTCTTTGACTCTACTGTAGAGGAAGTCATAAAGATGGAAGCTGTAGCTGCGCTTACAGGCATACACTTAGCCGTACACACACACACACACACACACACATACACACACAAATCATGCAAAATGCACATGTTAGGGCCTCAGGTTGAGCAATGAAAACAAAATTCAGGTGGAAACACACATTAACACACACAGTCCTCATATGTGTGCATGTATGAGGAAAGCAGACAGCGGCTGAAGCGGAGGCGTCACGACACCTTATTTATAACATCACTGACACCTGGCAAATACCACAACACTGTGTGAGGACGCTCAAGTGCACCCCCGCCTCTTACTTTGTCAGCCCGGTCGTATCCATCAAACTCAAATCAGTTTTCAACTAAACAGACACATACTTTGTCTGGTGAGTGAATTAAACCTGCCGTCAAGGTCACACACAACATGACTGCACAAACAATAAAAACCCATCTTGCACTCTTAAACAAGTCCAGGTGCAATTGTAGACAAAGAGGAATAAAAGTAACGACACAGACAGGCAGAGAGTGAGAGAGAGCATGAAGAGAAGAAGGAGGGGTGGAGTACGAGAAGGGGATGAGCTGTATCTCTTTCTTCGGCTGAGAAAAATGGACAGAGGTAGCCACGCTTCGTTAGAGACGAACAAGGACCCCACAGGAGAGAGACAGCAGAGGGCAGGCCGACACACGGGGTGTGGGGTAAGACGCGTGGCTATTAACACAGCAAACACACTCACAGACACACACATAATCTGGCACAGCATTCGCAGAAATGTCAAATTTACGATTTTACCTGTTTGTTTCTGGTTTTAAAAGATTACAGTAAAAGATTGATTAAAAGAAATAATGAGCACATCTCTATTTCCAGTGGTAAATGAAAAGATGTTTTTACAGACTTATCAAGTAAACTGAGCTTGGACCTTGTTCTGCACTCTATATTTTTATTGTTTTTACTTTACCTTTATTTAATAAAAATATAAAAAGTGCAAAAAACCTGCTGACAGCAATTTGACTCTAATAGCATTAAATTGGTTAAGACAAATTTACAAATGCAGTGATTTTTACCATCCTAACCTAATCATTTTTTTTACAATGAGGCTGAAATTATTTAAAACTTGACACATTATTATAAAATATATAAGATCATTACAATACCCTCAAATCTGAAAATTTAAAAATTAAGTTTATTTCTTTTTCTTTTAACTCTTACTGATGCAGTTGCTGAGTTGGCAGTTCTTTGGCACCCCTTTATATTCTGATATCAGAGCTGATATAGAAAAATTCAGAAGCACTCAATAAATCTGACAAAAAAAAAAAACTTTGAGAATTAAGTAAATCCAACAGATGAAGAGACAAAAGATTTGTCCTCACCTCTCGTAGCTCCAGCCTTTGTGCCACCGCCTCCAGACATTCCTGTCCCGTGCTCTCCACCGACAAAGTGCATTCAATCACATTGCTGTCAAGCAGGCGAATCCGTGTCACAAAATAGTTCTTGCTGAGGACATTATAGCGCCGTGTGCGCCGCAGCTTCAACCGGAAGGGCATGTCTGTCTGGAGGTCGCGGCAGAGTCAAAGGGGCGGAGGTCAAAGTCCAAGCAAGCGGCGAGAAAGGGGAGTGGGCGGGCTCTATGACCTGGCCGCTGCCCTCCTCACTCTCGCACGACGCCGGCCACACCACCGGGTGGAAAGATGCACCCAGGCAAGGCGCTGGCCCATTCCCAAAGATGTCCGGAGAAGAGGTGGAGGAGGATGAGGAGGAGAGGGAAGAAGAATGGGTGCTGCAGAAGGAAATGAAATAAGAAGACAAATTAGACACCAACACAAACTTTTCTTTTCAATTTTGGCTGACAGGACTGAAATCAAAACTACATGTTTGCTCTTATCAGTAGAGTTTCTTCTAATCAGACCCTCCCTTCTCTCCACCTCCTATACAGATGCAAAAAAAACAGTCAAGGCTCGCAAAATCACCAGCAGTGCGAGAGGCAGCAGCAGTGATGGTGCTGTGATGTTAGCAGAGGCAGGAATCACACAGTAGCAGACCGTTTTAACCTACAGTCATGGCAGCTGTGCTCCCTACAGCTCCATGAGGCCCACTGTCAGGCAGAGCCAGGAGACAGAGGCAGAGATGTGAGACCACGGATGAATGGACATCAAACAGTTTGTGCGCAGACATCCATCTGAACCCGGCAGCTGGCTTTGAGGAGCTAATGGAGCTTCTAAGTCTCATATCTGCCTGTGTGGGAGGCCTTTCCTTTCCTTTTTATCCCCCCTTCTCCCCCCTTTCTCTGCCTGGCAGCAACACAGTTCCAGACATTATACTGTATGGTGTAAGTGTGTAAGATCACAGACATGTGGTGGTGGCACATATGCTCACAAGGACATGTTTGTTGGTGAGCTACAAGTTAAGAAACTTGTAAATCTGTTAATGAGCAAAAATGGGGGTTATAAGGAAGCACACCCACTCATATTACAGTTTAAGACGGGTGTTCAGGGAGCACTTTGAACATTTCTCTGAGTAACTTATCAGTTCTTGCAAGTTTATGATGAGTAAAGAGCTTTGATAGAGGATCACAAACACAACTTTAAGTTCATTAAATGCACATATACCTGTAATATAGGGCTAGGCTTATGCAACATTTGTCATCCAGGTTAAAACGCAGGTTACAGTTGAGGACTTTTACAGATTTGCAATACCTTAGCCTTAATTCATCTGAATATCTAAAGGTGTTGTCATCTCAAGGGTGGTGGCTTCAATCTGGCCTTGTTACAAAGGAACTGAACCACAAAACCAAAAAAAGGAACACCTCTCTAGCCCAGAGGCAACTCACTCTCCTCCTCCACACCAAAACACTAATGGAAGTCACAAAAACTGGCAACCGGACCAAAAGAAAAACTTGCGGGTAAAATAAAGGCAAGGACCGAAGTACAGCACAACACAGCCCCAGTGATCAGGAGAGGAGGAACAGTGGGAGGAGTAGAGAGGGAGAAGGAGGAGGAGAGAAGATGGAGTGGATGTGTTGCGTCTTGTCCTGAGCTCTGGGCAATGTGCTGTTGGACCCTATCCCAGATTCCTCTCTACCCTGACTGGAAAAACAGAGCACACCTGACACAAGTATGCTTCACAAGGAAGGAAAGTGTGTGTGTGTGTGTGTGTGTGTGTGTGTGTGTGTGTGTGTGTGTGTGTGTGTGTGTGTGTAAGTGAGCTGGGGGGGGGACAAACTGCTGACTCCAGTGCAGCCGTGTTGTTTGCCACAGGTTGAATCACACTTGCTTTGCACTTGTTTTTCTTACCAGTCCTGCCCCCTTTAAGAGCCAGGACACATTCTTAAGTCCTGAATCCATCAGAGACGGCTCACTTAAATGTGGCATCACTGTATTTGTGAGATTTGTTTCGTAAGGGTGTTCATGCCAGCACACACGCCAAACCAGAAAGCTACACTAAGAAAACGACAGTGCTGCAATTCACCACATTTATGTTAGCGCTTCCCCCTTTGATTCCTAACTCAGGATGAAAAGCCTGAATCCTGTTACAATGTGATGTGATCCTGAAAACAAAATAACCTATATTGTGCCCCCAATTCTTGACTGCTCATCTACCCTAAAATGAAAACAATAAATAAATCGATATGAGCCATGTTACAAACAAAACAACACATTTTTACTCAATAAGCTAGCATAAACAAGCTAATGTTAGCATTAAAAACATGTTGGCATTCCACCACTGGTCAGCTAACATCACTGCAGTTTATTTTTGCTAAAGTTTCAGGGAAAATCAATAAAGCTATTGATTATTGAGTTAGTATTCAGCCAGTCTGTAGCTTATTATTACTACTGCTAGCACAACTGACTGTAGATAACAGGTCAGTGATCGTATCCTTAATAGGGTAGGGTGACCATACGTCTTCCTTTACCCTAATATATCCTCTTTTTTGGGGGGCTGTCCAGCCTGTCCGGCCTTGTCCGAGATAGTCAATAAATTCCTTCAAATGTCTGGGGTTTTGTATGGAAGTTTTGAGTTTGTGTCGCATGAACTGACTGAGTTAGAAGTGCGTAAAAAACACTCAACGCGACCTGACCCAAAAAACTCTCAAAATTAACTATGTGTGACTCCATTCTGTGTAGTCGTGTCCTCTTTTTGGTCGCCCTATAATAGGGTCTTATGTCACCTCACTTTTCAAACTTAAGTTGCTGATCAGTCTTTCTTTCTGTTTTCTAGTTGTATTTCAGCCACTTCCTAATGTCATTGTAAGCTAGCAAGTGCCTGACTGATGAGTCCTGTCATAACCTGAAATATGACAGATTTTCACTTTTTTCTGGTAGATGATCAACCCTTTTCTTCTTCTTTGGTGTAAAATTATCAAAACATAACAATAGTATTGAGCTTTTACTGACTCAGTGCCAACAAAGGCGAAGTGGTCTACTGCTAGCATTAGATGTTCTCTGATGGTAGCTGACAAGAAACCAAATCTGTTGTGGCCTTACTTCTGTAATCTGTATACAATGTCACTTTCCGATTTATTTTCAGACTTTGATAAATGTTCACAAGTTACCACTTCTCAGCTAGCATGAATGCTTTAATTTTATTTTATTTTTTCTGTGTGTGCACTTTTGGCTTTTTTTGTCTGTGCTCTTATTCTTCAGCTTTTCACTTTATAGTTTTTTCCTTTTTTTTATGGTGGATTTGTTTAACACAGTCGTTTATATGTAGGGCATAGACAATTAAACTAAAGAAATATTGACTGTTAATTGTAATTCCAGCTTTTCACCTAACTGTGTATTTTCAGTTGCTGATTAGCCGCCTTATGAATGCGGTCAATGATTAAGTAAAGAGGGATGTGGCCATTGTGACCCTATCCATAAACCTAAGCCACAGCTCCCTCTCTGACCACCCCCACCTCTGGTCTGGACTTAGGGGAAGTGATATCACAAGTTGACAGTAAAAGCACAAAAAAAAAATAAAACCTCAAGAAAATTTCCCACACAGGCCTCCTGAAAGATCACTGTCAACACATACACAGATAAGCACACAAAGACAAACTACATACTTTCACTGTGTAGTGTACAAACATAGACATGCATGAACAGAGCACACCACAAACACACAGAATCACAAACACGCCCACCAGGTTCCTCAGAGGTTAGCCAAAGGACCAGACAGCAGTTAGAGCAACTCTAAACTAGCAATCAGTGCGGCATGGCTGGGAGTGTGTGGTTTAGTAAAGCCCAACACACAGACAGACAATAGCTTGGGACTGAACCCAACCCCTGGACACAAATAAATAAAAAACGCTGCTTCAACACCGCTTAAGCTCTCCCCTGACCGTCATGTTTATTTCCAGCGTGCAAAAACAGCGTATAGGTTTATGAATTTGCACATTGTAATTTTGTGGCTGGAAGAAAAAGAGAGGGAAAACTGAGGGAAGAGGTTGTTTTTCCTTTTCAGGGAAGCAAGCATGGGCTAAATATAAATGAAATCATTGCCATCTTTTGTTGTGTTTTCTCTTTATACCCTTGGATAAGTGTGGCGAAGAGCAAAAAAAGAGGTGGATATTTTTTCTCTGTGTGATGCAACTATTAATAGTATGGTTTCCAAATGCATTTACCTCATCAAAGTGATTCAGAAATTTAAGAAAGCAACTTTGTAGATGCACAAAAAACAAGTCAAAAAAATGGCTAAACCTTTAACTGAACTCTTTATCTATACAAGATATGTCTTCTCCAGCTGACATTTACTGGCCTCAATGAATCATTTTCAAGCTCCTTGTGCTTTTGTATCACAAACTGATAACTTGACACTGTAGACGACTGAGGCCAGCCAGGGTGGTGCAGCATGTGTAGTGAGTTAAGAGAACTGCATTACTTTCTATAAAGACAAATTACTTATCTGAGATGAAGGCTAATCTTCAGCATGCCCCTATCACATAACTTCTTCATAGCGCCCACTTAGCTTCCCCAGTTACATCTTAGCAACTACAACAGCCGGTCAAGATTAATAATTGAGTAAATTTAAAATATAAAATATCGTATCAGTCATTGTTCTTATCAAACCACCAAAAAAAAGCCCAGTGCTGTGGTTAGTCTGAGACATGGATCCTGCTGAGATGACAGACAACAGTTATTATTTATGAAATACATAGGTGTAAAACACCAATGCTTCATCACAGCAGATCCTGTGTATGGTTTACAATGATTCCTTGATCATTTCAAAATAACCTCTGGAACAAAGAGCAAGTGAGAGGGTTAGACAGCTCAGACGAAAGAGCAAGAGAGAACTCTCTTTGAACATCTGTCCAAATGTAACACAGTTTAAGTACAGCTAAGTACCAGCTAATATAAACTGCTACAATTTGCACTGAGTAAGAGTGTGGGAGTGAGTGCTTGTGTTTTTATGAGTGCGTGCACAATAGCAGAGGAAGTCAGAGTTGTATCACAGCAGGGTGCATGCTGCAACTAACAAAATTTTGTAGTAAATGGACAAAAACTGTCATGTAGCCCATAAATAGAGGTAGTCTACACCTTAGTCTCTGCATTGAAATAATCAATAATAATCATGTCTCGGCCACATATTACAACCATGTTGTTGCTCTAATATTTTTTCTCAAATGTCAGCTCAGGGGCTCCATATCAAAGGTACAGTTTTAAGTTAGGGCGAGTCGACGAGAGTCGATGTGATGATGCTCGGCTCAAACAGCATATCTCCTGGGTGAGCTACACAACCTTAGTACACCCATAGGCTGTATCAGGTGTCAATCAAAGAAAACAGTAACCCCCATAAAAACTTTTAAAAATAGAGCTGGACAGAAAAAGAGGACTTGAGCACAAACCAGTCTTACAATAACTACATTTCAACACCGCACGCAGGGACGAGAAAAATTTATATCCTGTGTAATAAATTTCTAAAGTTTGTCTACAGCTCGATAAGCTTTACCAAAGGGCGCTGTTCTCGAGATGGCTTCACCCAGCGAGGAGGCGGACGGCGTCCATTCTATATACAGTCTATGGTCCCCATTCTTAGGATGAAGTGCTCGGGCAACATTTAAGAAAAACATTACTTTAACATGCAGAACTTTTTTTGAAGATCCACAACGTTTTCAAAGTCATTTTCTCTTAAGAATAAAGTTGTGAGGAAATCACTTGGACACAAGACTTACTTCTTTAGAGAAAATGACTTTAAAAAAGTTTAAATCCCTTTAAAAAAACTGCATGTTGCACAAAACTTCATTAGTCAGCCAGATGTAGTTAATGGAGTGTATTACAGATGGCAACACAATCACAGCTACTCCAGAGTCTGTTTATAGCTGAAACTGCTGACCCACTGTTGTTGTAGTAGTCGTAGTAAAATGCATAATGAGCCATGCAGGTGTGAAGAGTTTGACAGGTGTAGCAACAGCATTAAGGGGGGTAGGGTTTAGCTAACAGCTAGTCTGTGCCATGTGTCAACAGCTGACAAAAGACGGATATCAAATCTGTTAAAACAAAATGTTGACACAGGTTTTCCCCCACAGTAGGTGATGTTTTCCCTCCACCCACTCAGGTGTAGATTCAGCTTGCAAAGGCCATGTGAAAATTGAAACCAAACCAAAACAAAGCTGTGACAAACGCCACAGACAGCCTGGCAGTGTTGCACATCAAAACCACAAAAAACACAAAGCACATCTAAACTTGATCATTTTACTTTTATTAAATCATTTCACAATAAGAAAGAAACTTCCTTCATAGCATCTTCATAGGATTTGCTGTCCTGGGCTCTGCTGCTGCTGTGCTCTGCCTCTCTCAGGGGAAGCACGTCCATCACTTTGCTCCATTCACATCCACACAATAGTGGGAACAAAACAGCACTTTGTCGCCCACTGCTAAGACCATTAGACGCAGGCAAGCAAGAACTGAGGACGCAAATGTAGCGTGTGTAACTCAATCAATCTGATCTCTGTTGCTCGTCTCTGTCTGAAATACCACCACCACCTCCTCCTCCTCCCCTCCTGTTACACATGAGCGCTGTAGCAAAACAAACGGGTTAAGTGCTTCACAGCTCGTAACTGCTCTTCCTCCAGTGTACTCTTTTTACACCCAATTCTACAAGACAAAACCAGGCCAGGATCACACAGTGGGAGCTCAGAAAAAAAGTAGTTTTTTTTTTTTTGACATTTGTGCTCAGTGTTATTCTTCTGTCTAATATTTGCAACAGCTGCTCTTGCTTTTGTTTTATGTGGCATTATAATTATGATTTATCGATTGATTTACTGCTGCCAAAAGCTCATGTCAGATAATTTACTTTCTCACTGGTTATTGGTCTATAATAGTGTGATAAAAAGTGGCATTAGAGAGAATGAAAGTATTTTGGGTATTTTACTAAAAAATTCCCTAATCAAAACAGCAGATGTTTGTAGATTAATGATCACAAAAATAGTGGAAATCTGTTTTAATAGACAGGAATTGTCGAAATTAGATCTAACTCAATTTTTTTTAACTGAAGTTAAGTCAATCAAAACTCATTCTGGGTCATTAATTTCTCACGAGTGTTACATCAGAGGGTTTCAAGTCTCAAAAGAGATTCAACATCAACAGTACTCTCTTTTTTTCTCCTCTATGCCTCTGAGAACTTGCCCGCTCTGTTCTTCAATGATGAAACCATGAAGTATGTGATTCAAAGCAGAGTTAAACATGAAAAGTACAAAAGCATCTGTTACAAAACACACAGATTTAGCTCATATTTCCAAAATCTTCTTAGGACTTTGATCCTCTTTTACCCCACTGGCTTACCATGGAGCTGAGACAGGCTCTGTTGTGAGATGTTTTTAGGAAACATGGCTCTGAAGTCTGCACATATTCCCAGACACAAGGAGCAAGAGTCTGAGGAGCAGCAGCTGCTGGGAGCTGACCCTGACAGATTTATCCTACAGCTGCACAAAGACACACCAAACTTTGCCACCCAGTACACTGACTGAGCATTCAGTATTGCATGAAAAAATCACATACAGTGGAGGGACATTCATGGATTCTAAATAGTAATTGACTCCCAGCAAGACACAAACAACAAGACTCTTTGTTTTCTGACACGCTGGTCATATGTTTCTGTCTAATTAAGAGTATTGTGAATGCATTGTGCATGTTAAACTTTTTCCCTGTGTTCTCTTTTATACCTTGAAGGCATGAACTTTGCAGTACATCCCAAAATAAACAGTATGTACTATGTTCATACCCACACATGCATCCACTCACACACACACACACATACAGTCAGCCACTCGCACAAACACCAGCAGCTGCAAACAGATGGTGGAGCCAGGCGTCCAGACAGTGTGCGTTTCTAACAAGCGCATCTGCTTCTTCACTTTCCAGCTCCACCCCCCTCCTTTTCTGAGACAAAGACACACACAAACAAACTTTACACACACACACACACACACACACACACAAATGCACACAAAAGCATTTTCTCTACTACACACAAGTGCAGCACTGGTGACAAACACATAGAGCTGTGTTCACACCGAGGTGACATCCAGACAGCAAGGGAGTCTGACCTGTAGCACATTCCCTGTCTATCCCTCTCGATGACATACACGTACACATACTTGCACGCACATACACACACACAATATTCAGCATTCTTCTAATTTAAAATTAAGCTGACATTCATTGTTTTAGTTGCTCGGGAATAAATAAGCTCCATTTGACAGAACATTTTCTACAACAGTTCCTTTTGAGACTTGCACACATAAAGAAGAAAAGTTCCACTGCATACCATACTCTTGCAGACATACATGAATCCTGAAATCTGGATGCAACTCTTTGAGCGTGCGGAGCTCCTTCACAAACTCCTTGTACTATCCTGTGCAACAACAGCAATCTGTCAACATCTGCAAATAACCCTCCGGGTCTGTTCTTTGTGCTTAGAGATATTTTGTAGCAGCAACTATTTTTCAACATCAGCTGCTTTGTAGCTGCTGAGTTATAACTGTAGATACGATAATGTACATGAAGACTCAACAACAAATAAGGTCCACAAAGGATGTTGTCTTTGGAAAAGAGAGTTTTGGCACGTTGTTGGAGATTTTTAGGCACTGTATTTCATGAAAATACAGAGTGCTAACACTGTTAGCTAGCACCACACAGTTGTTTGATATTGATACGACAATAAACTTAACTGTAAATGGTAAACAGACTCATACACTGACAGCAGAGATTGGAAGTTAAGGTTAAATTACATGGTAGATGTAACTGTGACTGAAAGGGAAGACAGCCATGCTTCTTTAATGGTTCCCTAGCCGATTTCTTAACAAAGGGGCCAAGCAAGGCAGTATCCACTGTTGCTTTTACACTTCCATCCATCCATTTTCTACCGCTTATTCCCGTTCCCGGGGTCACGGGGGGGCTGGAGCCTATCCCAGCATCTTCGGGGGAAGGCAGGGACACCCTGGACAAGTCGCCAGTTCATCGCAGGGCTGACATATATTTTGTTGGCAAATATGTTATACAACCTCACTTCAAAAACAACAACAACAACAACAACCCCTTGAAGGTTATTATGGGTGGGCTATTCAGAAGAAAATTGCGAAGCTGACAGATCTCCAATGAAGCTGAGCCCCACAGAGATTACCAGTCTTACATTGATCAGTTCAGCACAGACTGCCAAAGACATACAGTATGACCTTCAACATGAGAAGTCTGATCAGTATAGGCCACAGTCACCTTTAACCAACAATAACGTATGGTTAGTGTTACACATACTCTACGAAACGTACAAATGCTTAGCTGTCACACAACATCACGTTTAGCAGCTTAGTAAATGGCATATTCCTAACAGGGTGAGTATGCATCCAGAAATACAGAATAAGAGGGAATTAAAATACATAACAAACAAAACAAATGTGTTTAACACACGCAAAGTTTTACATTCAAAATACATTTAAATGGAAACATGTTAATAAAGTTCTTGTTAAACAATTAATAGCATAAAACTTTGAATTACCTGTAGTAGATTGGTTATCAGACCATCCACCTCAGTTAAAAAACAACCATGTAAAGCCTCTATGGTGATCTTAAAGGCTGTTAGTTTGATGACAGGTCTGGTAATGAGTAAATCTTTGTTTTGTGTCTCAGTTACATTCTCACACACTCACACCTCTAAAATATGTCTGCTTTGAGAACCACAGTAAGATGTTTTCTGCTTTTTAGCACATTTCAGGCGGTCCTTATGAGCTTGCCATCTTGGGTCATTAACCTCTATGACAACATATTTCAGTGAGATGACAGCAGTTGATTTTTTTGTTACACTAATAACCTTAAGCTCAAAATCAGCATCATGACTCTGCCTCAGTTCTCAAATAACTTGGCCGACTTTTGAGTCTTTTTTTTTTTTCCATCACTGTGTCTCCCCATTTATTATCCCACTAGTGTTGTGGTTGTGAGTGAGAGCTAGCCTCAGTCATAGGAGTTGCACTTTGGAGATAAGTGGCTCTGTCCAGTGTTGTGCACAGATCTATGACAATCTAATTGAGACATTTATACTTTTTGAGATTCAAAAATACACATCTCATATTCAGGTCAAAACAGTGATTGAATTTCCAGTCCCAGAGTACCATAGCACACTTTCAGCCAGTTGAAATATATGCTCTAGTGTTGCATCAAAGGACAAAAATGTACCTTACTGTTGAGAAATCAGGGGATTGATGCCACAGCGGCCGGGAGAGTTTACTGAGCGTTTATGAGGAACAGCACAGTACATTGGTGAGTGTGTGTCCGTGATTCCCAGCACCTGACTGAGAAAATAAGATAAGTGGGGAAGAGATGTGACCCAGCTGGTTCTCAGGCTCTTATCATGTTGGTACAGTTGGTCAGGAGGAGGAGAGGGAGGGGAGAGGTGGCTGAGGCTGAAAGGGATGATGGAGGGAAGGGGCGAGTAAACATGGACAGTGAGGCTGATAACGGCGGCTCTCTCTTCACATCAACAAACAAAAACACGGCACCATCAATTGTCGGCCACCACGTCTTTTCCAGCCAAACCACAGTGCTGTTCACATTTTCCGTGACCCCCACCCTCTCCTCCTTCTCCTCCTCGTCCTGGGAACCACATCACACTCAAACACACATGCTCAATCACCAAAAAGCCACTGAGTGTTTTCTCACAGCTGAACCCACAGGCACAGGCAGCTAAGAAGAGTTTACAGGCTCATGAAAACAGCAACACTTGGGGTTTGCTACTGCCTTCATTCATCTCAATCCAACGCACACATACAATGTGCAAGAAGAAGAAAATGCACACATTTAAAACATAAGATCAAATGGAAAATTTCCCGGCTAAAGGCTCTATTAGGAGAAAAACATCTGTAAAAAGTCACGTTTCCAAAAATGAGGAGCCTGAACTGTAACAGTGGGGGTGGAGCGAGCGGTGATTGACAGCTCACCTTTCACACCTGGAAGGAGCTTGAGGTAGAGTGTGGGAGAGTTGGGCAGGTCACGGCACGCTCATTCAGCTCTGTTGTTGTCTGACGACTGCCAGAGCACAACACTTACACAACTCAGAGGCATCTCTGTTGGCCTGAATATACTCTCACACCCGCACAACTTACTCCTCACGGGCACACACGGAAACCCTGCAAGCTACATTTTTGATCAATAAGCATCACTTTTTATAAATACCTTAAATCAATGCACACCTAAACCCTGAATAGTTCAGCGTTCTAGCCACTCAAACTAGCAAGATAACAGTAAAGGATATCAGTGTTGAAGGATTTCTCAATTCCTCTGAATCTCCGGATTTGTTTGAAACGGTATTTCTGAAAAACTGAAATCACATTACTAATCCAAATACCAGAGGTGCAATGTTCAAGATTCTTTTTCTGGTCTGACAAATACTCAAAATCCTTATTATGATTCATTTATACAGATAACGTTGGAGTCCTCACGTTGAAGATGCTGGTAGTGTTGAGCCTGGCTAAACCCGGATTGTAGAGACTAATCCTACTTTTCAAAGGTTTAATTACACCTGTTAACAACCAGGCAAGAGATAACTGAAATATTTTGAGCTAAAATGAAAGCCCACCTTGTCTATGTGGACTTTTGGCCATTATACTAAGTTTAGCCCAAAATGAACCACAAAGGTATTATATGTGGTCTTCTCACTTGTATAACAACTTAATTGATCAATACTATGGTCTTGAGAGTTGGTGAGTACATCTGAAAGGAGATGCTGATCACTACAAAGCAGCTTAAACCATAACAAACAAATGTTCAATGATGTTCAGAGTTGTGACATTTTCCTCATTAATGTGTGAAGAAGTCCAGAGTAAGTAAGACAAGGCCCCATCTGTTAGCCCACTGATATCCACCTGTTCACTATACATTAACTCATATGTGGGCCATTATCTGCTGAGCTGTTGGGTCAATAATATAAGCTGACTACATATGAGTCAGAATCCAGTTTGACCCAAGAAATTTATGGCATTTTTCCCAATAATAAATAACTCCAAAGATCTAATAAATCGCAATTCAATGCAGGGTCAAGGTCATGTTTTAATATCTCCTTACATCAATCTGAAATGTGAAATGGAGACCAACACGGTTTAGGGTGGTGTAAGTATTTCTTTACATTGAATCCACTAAGCGTTTTATCATCACAATGTCAGTGAGAAACTGGCCCTGGCATATGTTTGGAACCATTTTATTTAGGCAATGCACTGCTGCTTTTCTGCAAAATAACAAAGATAACCACAGGATGAGTCTGAAGGACTGCTGCACATTTCTTTGTCCTAAGTCTAAACTGCAACAATAACAACAGCTTCTCTTCTCTTCCTCTTTAGCTGTATCACACAGTGTGAGCACTTGACCAAAATTACAGGTGTGTTTGTCCCATGTGGCAACTCAAATGGCCTTCAAACTCAAATGACCGCTGGGTGTGCGAACAATAGCCACTTTCCCTTCAACATGCAGGCTCACAATATGCTGTAAACATCTATTACAATAGTATCATGAGTACATTACACCAGACATGTTTTTGCTCCTTAACATTCTAGATCATCCGAAAACATAATGTAAAGGTTAAAAATGGCATTACCTTTTGTCAGTAAGTAATCAGATACTGTAAGTATGAAAAATGTTTTACTTTGCTGATAAAGAAGTGATGATGGAGGATGAATGTCTCTGAATTTAAGACCTTTAAATCATCTGCTACTGTTTTTAAAAGTGCTGTGCATTTCCAGGCCACTAGCTATGGCACCGTATAATTTACACAGCATGCCTTTGGGCTTATAAAGACAGCCAGATGTGTGTGTGTGTGTGTGTGTGTGTGTGTGTGTGTGTATGGCCTACGCCTCCTGCAACTATGCTATATTTGCCTTTACACAACTCTCCCCCTTATTTTACAGTAATGTAGGCAGTCCAAGGTGCGAGTCCAGACACATCTTTAACATACCCTGACACAAACATGTATGCACAGAGTAAGACACAGGGTGAGTGTGTGGAAGAACAGCTCAACAACAAAGTGATAATGTCATCATGGACAAGTTTAAAAGGAAGTGCATGTTCACAAAACACCCACCAGGACTTTTTAACTGGATGGCCACAAATAACACAGTCATTGTGCTTAAGTTAATGCTTGTTATTTATGGTGAAAAAGTGTCACCTCTGGATACTTCATGTAATATCTCTAAAATGAACTGTAAACGGGGCTCTACGGGGTCACATGAACCAATAGTAGACTTGTATATTTCTTTAGTGACCCTGGTTTATGCTGGGGGTTGCTTTGTTTAGGGGTTTTCCAAATATCCAAGGGTTGTGTAGCTCTCCTTGAAAATCACAGATTACACTCTAGAGTCTACTTTTCTTAAATTTGTTAAGGATTTGTGGAGTGTATTTCCATTCAATGTATGTTTATCTGGTGGAGGAAGCTGGTACAGGGGGTTACCATAAAAAATTGTGGGATCACCTACGTGCCAAGCCATTTGGCCTACATTTGATCACTGCCATAGAGACTTCGATGAGACTTTCTTGCGTCCCAGTTGTGTCTAGACAGTGAGGGGAATGATACAAAGCACATGAAAAATGTCCCTGGTGAAGTTTTTCTTTTTCTTTTCCACAAAACAACTCACCCTCGATCCTGCGCTACATGCCTGTCTGCTCCCCGCTGGAAAAAGCACCTCTTCGCTCGACGGCGTTCAACCTTGGAGCTTAAAGATAATCCTCATGCACTTTTTCTTCTCTTCAACACTTTTAAGTTCCTTTCTCGGAAAACCAAATCGTGGGAGACTCTGGGCTCATACACAAGCGCAACTTTCAGAACTCAAAGTCGGGAGTCCTATCGTGCTCAGCTGCAGGGTTTCTTGTCGGTTTTTTAAAGTTGTTTATGATGCAGGAAATAAAAAAAACACATAAACATAAAAAGTAAACGCAAGAGGCTCTCAAACTTGGCCGTGAAAAGCAACGACGTGGTCTTCTTTCCTCGCAGGGACTCTCTCGGTATGTTTATAGTAGTGGTCCCTTTGGTCCAATGGAGGCGTTGAGGGCAGGGGGAGAAAAGCGCTAATGCTGCATTCACGAGCTACAGAAAATGTTGGGGAAACGAGAGATACGTTTTAACCGCTCCAGTGAGGAGGGGCAAAGCTTGAGTTCTGGGCCGCAGAGTCAGTTCACGATAAATTTCAGATTTCAAGGTATAATTGAAAAGGTAACAAAGCAGAACAACGTCTTTCATTTTGCCATAAATATTTCTTTCTTCTTTTGATACACCTCATTTAATTATTGAAATAAACCAACATAAGGATGGTAGTAAAGAGGGAATGACTTGTACACGTTTGCAAAAGTCTTAAATTAGCTTACCTGAGTAACTCAAAGTATGATATTTTCAACATTTCAAAAGCTTTCAGGCCAAGAGTCATAAGAAATTCATATCCTATAGTTTTAGACTACGCCATAGCCCACAGTTTTTAGTTTAACTCGATAAAAACTATAGTGATTGTTTTAATCTTTGATTTCAGCACACATTACATAAAGAAGATGTAACTTGTAACAATATTAAGCCACAGCTGATGCAGACAGGATTGTATATTTAGTAAGAACTATAGAAGCAGAAGCAGAAGCTGTGGTACTCTAACTATCTGAGAGCCGTAGTTTCATCCGTTAAAAAAAGACAATTGTGTCAAGCATGATGACCAGAATAACCAAAGTGGAGATATAGAGAAAGAACAACCCTTGTTAATTTTCAAAGTAAAAAAAAAAAAAGTTCTCAGACAGCGCAGTTGAGATGTCGCAGCCGTGGCGGGGACATTGAATGCATCACTGGGTCCAGATGCCGTCCCCTCTGCTCTGACATCAGACCGGAGGAATCTGAGGAATTCCGGGCTCCTGGGAGAAGTCCTGCTCATTTAATGGTTTTCCAGGGGCCACAGAGGTGACTAAACGTCGAACAAAGGAGGTCCCTTCACATATTTATGTCCCCTCTTTTTTGCCTTTTGGTCAGGGATAAGTTACAGCCTCAGTGGGGCAATTTATTTGCATAACCTACATCTTTACAACGTGTGGGCTTTACGCTGAAAAGGGGCAAAATCGGAAATTTGAAAAAAAAAGTTTGAGTATTAAATGATGATTAAATTAAATAAGACGACATTCGATTTTTTTAATTACTTAAAACTAAAATGGAATTTAGTATTAAATACTGGTTAATTATGTGAGAAGGGACGTTTCTGTACATTTCACCACTAAGAAAAGGGCCTTGAAATAGATAGCAAGTTACTACCTTGGACAAAAGTCCAGCTTTTACACCACAGGATTACCAAAGACAGCTCCCAAATATATTTGCACATGTTTTCAGTAAAGTAGATCTGAGCTTTCTCTACATGGCAGGGTCAATATTTAAATTATCTTAAGAAAGAATTGTCATTCATTTATATATATATATATATATATATATATATATATTTATATATATATATATATATATAGTCTTAAAAACAGTCTTATAAGTTCCTCATTTTACATTATCCCAGGAGTAGTTTTAGAGCAAATCTACATGACCATTACTCTCATTTTTCACTTTTAGTCATAAATTCTTAATGATACAACTTTTAAGCTATCATAAATGAGACAAATTAGATCATATCCAACACGCTACAGCAGCATTGTCCCCCTCTCGCTGTTCTGCTGCTCTGAGTCCTTGTGATTAAGCTCCTTAGAGGTCTCATTATAAAGACCAGCCTTTAGACCCACAGTATAAGATGAGACATCTCAACAACAGTTCAAGAGCACCTAATGGTACCACCTGAGAGCAAAAGAAGGACGGAAATAGGTAATTACACCTCCGCATCCTTTGAGTGTATCAGACATGCACTCAAGTTTTTCTGTTAGAGTGTAAGAGAGTTTCATTTGAGGAAAAAGTAAAGGTTGGTATGCTCCTGAAATCAGAAATTTAGCAGCTTAATTAACATCTTTTCATGTTTTAAAATTCTTTTTTTCTGAATTATTTTCTATGTCTGCAGTTATTAGTGGCTCAAGTAGAGTACAAGAAGAAAAATCAATTCTTTGCAGAGAGATGATAAACTGCCTCATTTGTGACTAAAGTGCAGCCTCTTGTGGCAATCATGTAACCTACAGCTGCGGAAAATCAGACTGGGGTGCAAACAATCACTGATCAGTTATTTCAGGATACATTTAAAAATATTGAACTAAACTCTGTTTAGCTTGGTTAACACTGTTAACCGAATTTGCAAATAGCAAATTATAAGACAAACAAGCACAGACTAGCAAGTACCAGACTGCAAAGTTGCTGCGGTGTGAGGAACTACATCAGTCATATATGGAGAAAATAACAACATATGTAGAAAGGATACAAATCTATTACTGTAAGAGCCTAACCACAGCAGTATGGTGTTTACCCAAAAGAAATATGTGGGATATTTTCCTCTTTTTTTATTTTTACTCTTTTTGCAATGAGAAAATCTGCAGTCACATCCATGATCGAAAAGGTGGAGAATACAAGTGAAAGAGTATCCAGAAAATTGTCAATTGCCATTTAAAAAAGTATACATTTGGTTGTTGGTTAACTATCATTTCATATTTGTGGTTGAGCCTGTAATTCAACAGAAACAATATGTTATTTATTTGTGGTGCTTTGAAAAAACCTCACGGGAGATCATGTGTGAGTGTAAAACACTGGCGCTGCTGTTCTCAGACTGTAAGCCCCTCATTATCTCTGTTTTGATGACATCAAGGTGGATTCACACAACCTGACGTGTCTACACTTTGGGATCATTAAAGGAAACTTTGTAAAAGAATCATTAGTTAAGGCAGAAGCTGTGACTCACACATTAAAAATGTGAGATGCGATAAGATTTTTGGATCACTATTAGCTGCAGGAAGGCCACAGAAAGAGAATATTTGGTGACAACTCAAACATTATTTTGCAGTTTCACCTTTTCTGCACTACAGGGCTTGAGTCAAAAACACTTAAAGCAAGATGAAAAAGGTTGTATTCTCTTTCAACACCAGACATGGTATACATTTAATAAAGAACTATGGATGACCATTACATTACCATGGCCCAGAAGCACAACTTGAAACATACTGCCAACAGATAAACCATTTAGTTCGCTTATATAAGTTAAATGGCTATATGTTATTTTTAGGACATGTAAATCAAAGTGTATAAAAAAATCTTGAAAATGATTGGATAAAAGATAAACAGAGGATTGTTTCTGTTTCCTCTATTATACAACTGACATGGTTCAATACACCCACTGCGTTTCTGTTTTTCTTCATACTAAGTTTGACATGGGAACACTGCGTGATCATGCTATTTTATCAGCAAAAAGAGGTTGTTGTTCACGACTTAGGAACATAAATATCTCTGAAAGCCAACTCTGTATTTGGCTACAGACTTCCACATTCCTGCAAAAGCCCTAGTGTGTGTTGTTTGTCAGAATAGACCTACAACAACACTACAACTGAGACAGGCCTTGCATCATTTACATACACAATCTTTTGGTCCTTATATATGGAGCCGAATTGGTCATTAGGACTGGAGGAGGGGGTCATGGTTAAATCTCCTGCAAGGCAGGCAGGATTTTTGTTGATTTTGGTACCTCTTATCTCAGAGTTGATTTTGTCCTCTACATGGGGAAGACAGAGTTTTCTAAAGATATGTTTTCAGGGTTTTGCCTCTATTTGGAGAGGACAGCACAGTGCACAAAGTACAAAACAGAGAGAGAGCATGGAGTAACATGTGGGAAAGGAGCCACAGGCTGAAAACAAATCCAATCCAAGTGCTTGAGGCACAACCACCATATATATAGTTTACACAAGTAGTATGCTTTTCTAACACCTGCCTTCCTTCCGGTGGTTACAGAGATTAAAAACAGAAATTGAGAAATACTTATTGAAAATACTTGAACTAGAGGACCTTTGATTATGTGTTAGTTCTGACCAAAACTGGCCACAGTCATTCTTATGATCCTGAGCTGTCTTCATGGTGCATATGAGTTATTGCCCCCTCAGAGCTTGATATCTAAAAATCCATAAAACTAGTGTTCTAGATAAAATCTCTCTTTGCCAGGCCTGGGGAATGTTTGAAAATGGGAAATAGGATCCTAATAAAATTATTAACAAGCACTCCCAAAATATTAAGATATTGTGGCGAGTCCTGGCGCGATTGAATGTTCTGAGACAGGAATTTTGTTAATCAATATGCTCCTGAGTTCTCACAGCCAAGATGCATCTTCATTGATATGTTCACAACTACAAGTATTCACCTACAGAAATGACCCTCCTAATCGTGGTGCCCCAGCCTGTTTACTAATCCATGTCTATTCAGTCTAAACGTGGCAGTAAACAGGATAAGCTGGCGAACACCATAGAATAAGTGAATGGACAAGATAACAAAACAACAATCACATGCCTTTGACTGGTTGTAGCAAAGTCCCATGAACCTTTGTTCTAAACTAACTGGCCAATCCCGAGAGGACTGCCCCTGGGTTGCCACAATATTGAAGTTGAGAGTATGATGAATAAAATACAAAACATTGATATGAAGAACCAATTTGAGAGTCATCATTCTTTCCTCCAGTTGTTCAATAGCAGAGACTCAGAGCATGCTCCTTCAACTACATCTGCATGTGATTTATCATAAAACAGTGCATGATGGCCTCAGTACAGAACTTTCAACCTCAGGTTCTTTTTCAGCATTTGATCTGGGCTGAAAATGTACTTCCACTCCTTTTGAAAATGACGTAAAAATTAAAAATTTATGTGAATACTCTCAAGCGAAAAACACTGTGTGATCATGGTTTGAACCTGCAGGCTCTCATTATGGTCACATGGTAATATTAAGTATGACATGGTGGCGGTTGGTGGTGGAGACAGTCATCTCTCAATTAAAAAACTTGTGGCTTGAACCCCATTCCTGCAGTTTACGTGTCTTTGGCTGTACCTAGGAGCAACCCCACAGAGTGTGAATGCTTTAAGTAGGATTGTTGAATAACAAGCAGCAACCTCTGGTATTAAAAACTGAACCACTGAGATTCCTCGAGGTTCCACATGTGGTTTTCTCCAAAAGTCCCGTATTAGATCATGTATTCCAATGACAAATCTTACAGCATAAGTTGTCATGCATTCAGCCTGGTTTAAAAAATTATATTTGTTTTTTTTTTGCTAACTTTTTTACTGATACAGTGAG